TCAATATTAATTACGGCAATTTATTTCAGATTTTTAATGTACCTTAATATCGCTTTTTAAGTTTGGTTACCGTACACTTGCGAGCCTGCTGGACATAGACCTCTCTTTAGGAAGGAGGTTTGCCAACGTAAGCCATGTAAATTAATATTTCAGAGATTTAGTTGCTAATATTGTTTTTCTTTACTTAAATAAAAAAAAATGTTTCATTACTATTACTACTTAATATTCCTTGACAATTGACTACTCAACTTATTCTGAATACCGCATCATAATCCGTTGCGTGCTTTAGGAGGCGCTAACTGATATATGACTAAAGTGACTTTGTTTTATTAACTGACTTCAAAAACAACTCTCTCTCAATTCAACTGTATTTTATAAATACTTTTATAACAATAAGTAACTCTATACTAACTTTATAACTATAACACAGTTAATTATTTTATCTAAAATAAGTACCACCAATACTTGATAAAGAAATGTCAACATCGAGATTTCTTTATCTGATTTTGTATTTACCTACTTGAAAAGTGGGTTATCAGGTCATGGCATGCTTTAAATAATAGCCGAACCTTCAGGGGATATACATTTTCAGATTATGGAATAGATCATATTTTATATTGTTATAGTTGTAGGCCTACATTGTTTTTAAAAGTTGAACAAGCTTTAAAAAAATGAAAAGTTTGTTAAAAAAATTAAGGCCTTCAACAATATCCAAATTAAGAACTTGTTTAGATTTAATCTAGTTAATGCAGAACTGAAACAAGCAGTCATGCTATTCTCACAATATTAACTTTAAATTTTTACATATCGCACCAAAAAAAAAAAAAAATATTGCAGTTTAAAATTGTGTTTATCTGAATATATTGTTCAATATAATGCATTTAAGTAAGCTTGCTTTACATCAAGCTCAAACTTATCGAATCATGTCTCTATACAAGAAATAGGAAGATATGTGTAGGATATAACGAAATACAATACCACGCTCGGTGTAACTACGAGTTTTGGTTCCTTGTGTTAGTGATTCCTTTTTTCATACTTATGTACAAATCTCATTATAAAATGCTCCTAGCTGTAGACAATGAGCCTTGTCATCATATTATACTTTATACCAGTGGTTTTGTATGTAACAGCTAACTGATTAAATGACAGCATAAATTATTTCTAATTTGACAAAAATAAAATAAACAGCTTAACCGATGTATGTAACACCATTCACCATTTATATGTATAAACCAAAAACTTATATATCTATTGGAACCCATCTTATATCAGTAACAACAATGAAGAACAATAACTGATTGTCATCAAAATTGAATATCTTATCAGCATTAATTAGTTGACCTAAATCGAATGCATTAGATATAAAGTAAACAGCACAGGTTATTATATTTTTCAAGAACAAAATGAGAGCACAGGATTATGAGATGTTAGTCCCCGAGTGCGGCGGGTAGCAGGTGCGCTGCATTGCCTGATTCATAATCTCGGGGGACCACTTGAAGAAGTTCGCTGCCTCTACATGGGCGTAGTGCGATCCATGGCTCTCTAGTTATTGGGCACCCGTCTGGCCTAATGACCTGGTGGGTGCATCCCGCTCCAGGGACTCAGTGCTACTTAGAGCAGAATTACAGAATATAATTAATATCTCATGAATCGGCGCAAGTACTTAAATGGAGCACGTCATTGACACCGATGCTGATAAAAACTAAGAAGTTTTGGAATAATAAAGTGATACTTAATTAATTTATTTGATTGATTTAATTGGTTTTCACTTAATTCATATATGAACTATGAAATCAAAATCTATGTACAACGAATTTATTAATACTTTAAATATATTTATGAAATAAAGATATTTTGAGTTTGAGTTTGAAACAAGTTCTTGAGTTGAGACCACGTCTCTGCAAACGTAGTGTAGGCCAGGTGAAGTGATGATTCGCTCAAGGTGGATGCGTGACGCTAAGGAGCGATCTAAGTAGAGATGCATCCCACAATTGATCACGGAGAAACGGTGGCTAGGTTGTTTTTAAAAAGAGTGAAGTCGGAAAAACTGACTTATTATTTTACATTATAGTAGTTTACCAATATACTCGTAGAAGCAATAATAAATAAAAACTTTAATTATATTAAACCTGAATTCCAAGTTCTTAGCAAGAGTTGTACATAGATCAGGGTTCCACGGCTCGAGCAGTGGTCCACTGTCGCCAGTTTTTATAAAAAACTATTTTTACTAAACTTTTTATACTATTAATAAAATCTTCGTAAATAGATTTTGATTTCATAGTTCTTACATTAATTTTAGTTATTAACAATTAAATGAAGCGAATAAATTAACTAAGTTAATAATTACTGTATTGTTGCAAAACTTCTCAGTTTTTATCGGCATCGGTGTCAATGACATGCTTCACTTAAGTAGTTGCGCCGATATATATGAGCTTGGTACAAGAACGATCCTGTAACAAAATAATCTTATCTCAGAGGAAAATGGCGGGTCTTCATACAAAAAACTATTTGGAATCAAATTGCATCGTCTTGTAGTGAAAAAATCGGCTTTCTTTTTAGAATCTATGTGTAAAACAATTTTTGTTTGGTTGGGAAAAAAGATATCTGCGTCTCTGTTAAAAAGAGCAAGGCCGGCTTCACTGCCTCGAGGTGGAGGTGGACCACGTTGAGGTTGAAGTGAAGACCCCTTATATTGCAGAAATCTCCGTCAAGCGTGGTGAGGGGTGGTCTGATGTACCTGCTCTTGCTGCGGGTAGGTATCTTGTCGAGCGCTGTTGTGCCCCCTAGAATACGTAGGGCAGCCTAGACTTCCACGCTCAGAGGCATGGTGTTCTGAGCGTGGACGTCCAGAGGGGGAGCAGCTGGCGTTGGAGTACCCTCCTCTGGACGTCTACCCTCCTGGGGTAGACTATTTTTCAACGACGCCATCATAAGTTGCAGGGGGGTTGGCCTCCTGCCTCACTCACTCGGTGAAATGCAACAGGGAAATTGTGTACCGACCGGTTTTCTGTGAGCCACGGCTTCGCGTTGATTTATAGTCTGTAAAACTCATTGACTATTTAGCAGTCTAGTACACAGTGTCTTTTTATTATTTAAGCCTATATAAATTTATCCTAGGCAGCGAAACCCTTATTGGACGCATTTTTACGGATACTTTTCATACACAGAGATGGTTCTCCTGCCTCTTCCCTCTACACATAAAACTTAAAGTATGCAATGCAATCCTTGTCATGTTGTGAATGTAAAATACAAATATGCTAGAAGTTTAAATTAACAAATAATTGAGGAATTTTATGTGTTGATCACATTTATTTTAATATCTTAACTTGAATACGGAACGTAATAAAAATCTTCGCATGCTATGTTTTTGTTTTTGAATATTTAAGTTTCATTAGCAATTAGATGCTATAAAAGTAATATTCACTTAACTTATGGTCAGACAACCTGTTTGTGTCTTAATTACTAGATCTGTTGAATACAAGATTCAGCTAAATTTAATAAATACTTGATTCGCTTGTCATCGTAACTTTGTCTTTCTGAAAACAATTTTTTATTTAAAAAAATACGTAAACTAAATGAATTTAATTCCTTTAGTTAAGATAAACTCGCTATTTGTATCAAGGATGGGCAGGTTCATACTTAATTTCTGACTAAACCACTCTGAAACTGTTTTGTAATTCCGCTTGCAATTTCGACGTTATCTTAAAATTTAAAGCTAGTAGAATAGTAAGCGTTAACTTCCCAACATCCACTGGGACTCGTTTCGCGAGGTGTGATCACCTAGTCGGAGGAGGAGGCGGTTTTTGTGTAAATGTGTAAATGTAAGTATAGTGTAGGCTTGTAATGTATTAATTCATATTTTATTAACTTTCTGGTATTTTTGAGTGTTTATAGTTTGTTTCTCCCTTTGTGTTGTTAGTTTCGTCAGCACATTGTGAGTGATAAACTATGTTATGTATCATTAGGTAGATGATTGCTTTGTTTAGAAAAGGACATTGTATCTTCAACTAATCCAGCTATTAAGATAGCGGTACAAGTCATGCGATTTACAGTTGATACCAGTACTTATCTGAATAGGAATGTAAGTGTCTAAGCTAGTAATAACAATGGAGTTAAATTTTTTCACAAGGTCAGATAATTAATTTGCATAAATATGAATGGGGAGGATAATATAAATGCAATAAGATTTAATAAAGAAATAGCAAAGGTTTTTGTTTCTAGTCTCTGAATATAAATAAAAGCTTTATTAATGAAACGATTTGTACATCACTAAATAGCCTCTTAAGGGTCTTAGCGTGATGGTTCTATACCATTTATGAATGATTACTTTACCATTTTTGTTTTGGGTAGCTATCCAAAACAAAAATAATAATTAACACTAGATTGGTAGTTCCAGAAATTAGCGCGACTAACAATTGTACATAAAATTAAACAAAAAACTTTTAAAAGTTTACATTTATGTTTGCTGGTTAGAGGTAATTAAAAACTCAACTCTGACAAGTATGGCCCATCTAACTAGTTTGAATACAGTTGAGTGATATGTAGACTTCAAATAATATCCTATTCCTAATGGTGTTTGTATATATCTATAGTCTGTAATACGTGATTACAGCATATTGTTAAAAAAATATTTTAGAAAACACTAAAAATTGTAGTCGAACAGTATGTTTGTGATTTGGCCTATTTGTCTGTTTCATTGAAAATGCATTTCTGTTAACACAGTGTTTCGGTTCACTCTATCAGCAATACCCATACAAGTACATGTATACTAACCATTCAATAATAGTGTTAGAGAAACGCTTTAAAAAAAACAAAGGTAATGATAACTTAAATGATGGATCAGAAAAAAAAAACAACTATCAAACCATCAAAAAAATGTTTTATTAGCATTATTCACCATTTACCGTTAACATATTTTTTCCAAATCTGTACATTTTTTAGAATGTCAGCAAATATTATTAAAGTGATTTAACATTTTTTTTATTAAATTTCATTTTTAGAATACCACCTTTGTATGGGATACAGACGATCCAAATTTTACACCATGTTTTCAAAAGACTGTCCTCGTATGGATCCCTTGTGGATACCTCTGGCTTGCAGCTTTACTCGAGTTATATCAAATGTTTGTCAGCAAAGAGGCCAACATACCCTGGAGCAAACTGAATGTTATTAAACTGGTTATAACATTATTCTTGGTATTGCTACAAATAATTAACTTCAGTCAAGTAATATATACATCTTCAAGAGAACAGGATATAGTTTTTGATGCAGACTACTATGCTCCAATTGTAAAACTAATAACTTTTGTAAGTATACACATATATTGTTTACATGTCAAGTTAGGATATGCTTTTCAATTGTTTTCAAATTTAGTCATATCTAAAACTTGCTGTAAATTCATAAGAATAAAACTAACCGTGGAGGTAATAAAAGCAGGTTAAAATTTCACATTCACTGTGTATTAGTTTATATTTTAGTCTAGAGCCTAACAGTATGAGTGAGAAAAGGCCTAGCCTTATAATAAAGTCCCAAGTTAAATACAAGACTTAAGTATAAACAAATTAAAATCCACAGTAAAGCGTAGACTGTGTCAGAAGGTCTATTACTAGATTGTAGATTATATTAAAGACAAGAATGATTGGGATTAATTTGCCCGTGCCGTGAGTTTGTTTACCCTTTCTTCTCATAAGGCATAGGCATATAATGGATTAACTTCCTTTTGCTAAATATTTAACACAACAGATTGTTGTTATTTTGTTTGTTGATCTATGGTTTTAGGTCTAAGATGATTTCAAATAATTTATTATTTTAAAATGAAGATATTTTGAATTTGTCTTACAAATTTCTTCTTATAGAACAGTTTTGTGAAATAATGGTGTTCGCACACTAAGTGCTTATATTTGACATGGAAGTCTGTTTCAGGTGTTATCAGCAACGATTTTAGTTTACAACAAAAAATGTGGTATGAGAGCTTCAGGAGTACTCTTTGTATTTTGGTTACTCCTCATTTTGGCGGGGTTACCCCAGCTAAGAACTGAGATAACGAAGTATAAAGCAGCTGTGAACAATGACCTCTATAGTTTAGGGAGTTATATAGTTTATTATATTCTAGTTATGGTAATGTTTGTAATGAATTGTTTCGCTGATTTGCCTCCGACAGATACACCGTACGTTTACGATAAGGTAAATTTCTATTTTTAGTATATCTTACTTCAATATTGCTATAAGTAGTAAGCTATAGAGTCGTCGTCTCAGAAATAAGTGACAAAGGTATCAATAATATTAGTGATCTAATTGGTTGAAATGCCTCTACAATTTATTACTGGGACGTCACTACAGTTGCGGATGTAATAAGACTTGTTAGTTACAAATTGTAATGGGTTTGATTATTTGATTGCCAACAGAGAAAATCCCCCGAAGACGCATCCGGGGTCCCCAGCCGCCTTACATTTAGTTGGTTTGATCCAGTAGCTATAACCGGGTATAGAAGAACTTTGACTGAAGATGATTTGTATTCTTTGAGCCCTAAGTTACTTTCTAAGGAAACTGTTCCACGATTTGATAAATATTGGAAACGGGCGTTGAAAAAACAATGGTCGTGAGTAAATTTGTGTCCGCTGTCGTCTAAACACATGAACATTATTATTTACTTAAAATCATTGCAACTGATTGATAGCTGATGATGGGATGTGACAGGTGTTTGATAAGACAATGATTGCTACAACATTTATAAGTGACCTCAAAACTATTAAACTTTTAAAAAAGTTTATTGATTTTCAGAAGGACAGAAGAACCGTCAAGTTCAGAAACATCGTCGTTAAAAGGCGGCAAAAAGGAGAAAAACATTGTTTCCATTTTACCCGTATTGATCAGAGCTTTCGGCGGACAATTTTTTGTTGCTATGGTTTTAAAGTTATGCAACGATTTACTATTATTTGCAGCGCCAGTATTACTTAGGTTAGTATTGTGATTTGACTAACTTGACATGGCATTGCAGCATACATTCAAGCACGATTTTATATGTAGTACCTATCATCCCATTCTGATCCTAGAGTAAATACTCTTGTAACTAATAATTTATACTATTGTAACACTTTTCAATTACATAGTTTAAAAAAATCCCTATGATTTATTTGGTATTTAGTTTTGTTTACATAGTTTGAGTCGATAACGTATGATGAATGGATTGCATTTAAAATATGTAATAAGCACAATTTTTGGCTGCAATAATATACCTACACATTTTTAAATTGAAGATATACACATTAAGATCAAATTATATTCATATATTATTTTAGGGCAAAAATGAGATAAACAATATATTTATTATTTTTTCAGATTACTTGTAGGCTTTGTAGAAGGTAATGAACCAGTATGGAGAGGTTATCTTTATGCCGTTGGTATGTTGGTGTGTGCTTCTTTACAGACTGTGTTTTTGGGCCAAAATATGATAATGACTTCAAAAGTCGGCGTGAAAATCAATTGTGCCTTAAGTAGCATGTTATACAAGAAAGCCTTAAACTTGACCAACAAAGCCAGGAAGAAACACACCGTTGGAGAAATTATGAACTTAATGTCTACTGACGTGACCAGGTAAGGTGTAGAATAACACTAAATGGCTCATAAAATAAAAGTCAAGGTCAAATTAATCACGCAAGTACCTATGCTGTCAAAAATGAGTTTTTTTTAAAGTTATTTTTTAGTTAGCATCTTAACATTTTGTTTTTCTAAATGCCACCTGACCGTGTTAAATGTAATATATATTTTTTACTATTGGGATTTACACGATGAAGGCTTCTTATTCATACTAGCAATTCAATAAACTAAATTAATGTTGGATTTATGATTGATTTCGTAATAACATTATCATAATCCACAGACGTATACTTAAATTAGTAGATAAATGAGAATAGATTTTTAATGATCATCTCGCTTAGGCCAACCACACGTTCTTTTTATTTGTTTAATTAAATTCATAAAACTAACTCGAGACACAGGATGAAATCATGTGCTCCCATAGGTTATTTATTTTACTTGGTTTTATTCTATTAAGAATTTTACGGAACTCTGCAAACTATAGGGATTAGAATATTTTTATAGCAACTTGTGTATTTGTTATCAAAAAAGCTTTATTGTGTGAAGTGAAACTAACTGAGAACAGAACAGATCGCCACCGTAACTACTCATTACGTTATTATTTAAGAATAATATTACGTTCTTGACGTTAATTTTCAAATTGCCAAAAATGGATGTGTAACATATTTATCTCAAAGAGATTGTCAGATATAAACATTTGCTGGGCAGTCAACATCACTTTAGTGAAAGGCCAATAAAAATTTGTTTGCCTATGCCGAAATTCGCCTATTGTTATTGTTTGATAACCTCGAATAAGTAGGAGTTTATCATTTTAATCAAATATTTTTTGTCTGTTTATTACGCTAAATATTCTAATTCAAAACGCGATATTTTCGCCCTTATAAACTAATTTGAACAACTTTGTTTTGCCAAGTTGGTTGTACACAAGGTTACAAATGGAACTACCCAATTATGAAAATAAAAACATGATTTGCAAACTTTGCTAGCATGTTCCTAACTTTTATGGACGAAGGAGTGTGTGCTCAAATATATTTTACTAGATGTTATTTGTTATCATTGCTCTAAAAAATATTCAACAATTTACAGGATTTCGAAAGAGGTTGATTTTACTTGTATCTTAGGGATTTTGCACTCCATTTCGTCGATTCGACTTAAAATAAACTTTATATTACTAAGTCCTATGCGATAGGCTGATGATGATTACTGTAACCCACTAAAGCTATGTGGCAACTTCCACACACATTAGTATGTATATACTTACATATATAACTTCCCATCATATCGTTTATAATTAAAAAATAATAAAATATTGGAGGCCATAAAGAGGACCAGTTTTTTGATTATAGTTATTCGCCTAAACCAAACTAAGGATAAATTCACAATTAAAGGCTGTTGATGTGATATATGTGAAACTTAGAATACAAGTATCAATAAATAATTTAGAGATACAAAAAATATATTTTAATGAAATAGCATTACTAGAATCAAGTCTTCTCAAAGATTCTGAACTACATAGGGATGAAGGAAGGAGGGTTGTTTCACAATACTTACTGGCAGTCTCGGTTGTGAGGTCAGTATCGCTGCAACGTATATTAGGTATACCTACGTATACCTACTTCAGGTAAAATTAGGTACGTTCGATTGATATTCTCATATTATGCATGCGAACCCATCGGCCTAAGGTGAAGTGGTATGGCGTTCGTGTAAGATGTGTTAAGAGAGAGAATTTTGAGGGGTGTGGAACAGTGTTAAGATTATATTTTAGTGATGCGCGACTAGTTTTAAACCCAATCGGCCTTATGAAATCGAACTGTGCTCCACTTGAGTGTATGCGTATCTTTATTAAGTATGACCAAATACGATTGTATTTACTCTTTTGTATATTATAGGTTTATATTATATTATTTTATATTATAGATTTTTAGAATAAAATGTGAAATTTATAATAGAAATGGCCGTTTCTTCACTGCAGGTTTACTGATTTAACACTAATGCACTTAATATGGTCAGCCCCTTTACAAGTAGCTTTGGCCATGTATTTCTTATGGAATGTGTTGGGGATATCAGTTCTGGCCGGCCTTGGAGTAATAATTTGTCTTACACCAGTTAACGGTTTTTTTGCTGGTATTCAGGAAAAATTCCAGGCAAAGATTATGTATCATAAAGACGAAAGAATAAAACTAATGACCGAAGTACTGAATGGTATGAAGGTACGACAAAGAACTAGATTGAAATACCCTTTTATAAATATTCATTGAAAGCAGATGTTTAAAATCACATTCTTATTCTACTAGGTACTCAAAATGTATGCTTGGGAGACAAGCTTTCAAGAACATCTTCTTAAAATAAGGAATAAAGAATTGAGTATTTTAAAAAAGATGGTCTATTTTAATTCCATTACTGCATTTTTATGGTTTTCTACACCGTTTCTGGTAAGTTATTTATAAATCGTAGTTTAAGTTATAGTTGATTGAGTTTAAGTCGTATTCTAGAAGAGAAACTAATTAAATGTGTCTGGTCGACAGGTATCACTCATGACATTTGGCTGTTACGTACTGATAAATGATACAGAAGTTCTGGATTCCAAGAAAGCATTTGTAGCTTTGTCTCTGTTCAATATACTTCGTTATCCAATGACAATATTACCCAACGTATTATCTAATGCTATACAGGTCGGTAACATGACGTACATAATAATTTTTAAGTAGGTATGTTTGTTTTAGATATGTAAGGTATAATCGAATTTATTTAATTACAGCTTTGTGTAAGCATCAAGAGATTGAATAAATTCATGAATTCTGACGAATTAGACACAAGTATGATAGAACACAATCCCAACGAACGTAAGTGAACGAATGAACATGTACATATATACACATATATATATATGTGTGTATATAAGTTGTTTTTTTAGAAATCACTTTAGACAAAATCTAAATAGCCTGTGTTACCAATTTCAGCCGATCAGATCCTGGTGGAAAATGGCCATTTTTCTTGGGGTCCAGATGAGACACCAGTATTAAAGAATTTGAATATACATGTTCCTCAAGGGTCGCTAGTAGCCGTGGTTGGTCCTGTTGGCTCTGGTAAAAGCTCACTCCTCTGTGCGATTCTTGGAGAAATGGATAAAGTTTCAGGGCGCGTTAATGTTAAAGGTAAATCTGTTTTTGACATTTAACAATAATATTCTAATACTTGTCACTTCTGACAACATCCTTTCATTGAAGATAAACTCAGACTTTTAAATATTAATTCATTGAACATTTCTAGGTGAAATAGCATACGTTTCTCAACAAGCCTGGATACAAAACGCCACTGTGCAAAATAATATATTGTTTGACAAGCCGTTAAATAAATCTAAATATAATAAAATTCTCGAAGCGTGTGCGTTGAAGACTGATTTAACTATCCTTCCTGGCGGTGATCAGACCGAAATAGGTGAAAAAGGTAAGATTCCTTTGAAAGATTTTAGCATATTCAAGAAAAGAGATTTCTTTTATCTAGTACTACAACAGTATAGATGTTGTAGGTATAAATTTATCTGGTGGCCAAAAGCAACGCATGTCACTGGCACGTGCAGTATACTATGACGCTGACAACTATTTCTTAGATGATCCTCTCAGCGCTGTTGATTCACATGTCGGAAAACATCTTTTTGATCAAGTAAGTCTCAGTTAAAACATTAAGGTAATACTTCGAAATTGTATTTAACTAGTTGACTGGACTCGTGCAATCTAAAGGCCACCTTAATATTTTAATGAATGTAATTTACCATAAACATTGATTAATTTTTTTGCATTGTTACTCGCAATAACTCAATTAAAGCTATGCCTTATCATAAATATTACTTTATATTACCCTGACAACAACAATCTATTGTTTTTCTTACATATTTTAAATACTTAACGTGGGTATTTAAAATATGTAAGAACTACAATAGATTTGCCACAGTATTTATACTGTATGTAAACATCCTAGATCGTTTGTTAGATTCAAGGTTACGAATTACATATATGGTAAATAGCTGGAATTGTAACTTCAATTGTGTCCTAAACTAATCAAGTGCATATGAATAAAATGTAAAAATGTCAAAAAGTAATGGCAAGTATACATATTTTTTTTATGCTTGTTACGCAAATTGTTCGTGAATTTGGGCCAATTTTCAAGATTTTTCTAAAATGTGGGCAATCTTGTAATCTAAAGGGTATAGGTGGGTGGTGTTAGGTGGTCTTATTGTCACCAAGTCAGGATCTGATAATGGGATCAAAGAGACATTGAGGGAAACACCGAATTTACATAGGCCCGAGAACGTGTTTCATCTTTTTTCTCAAGACACAGCGTTTGGTAGTCATTATCTCATGTGGGTGAGCTGTTGATGGAAGGGTACTTAACTTTTAGGAGTGAAGGATAAGTCTTTAAAATATATAATTACGTATCGACCTTTAGTTGTATTCTTTTTAGATATTTATTAGGTATATGTGCATAAAAAAAGTAATAAATGAGATTACAAAAGATTACCACAAACGAAAAAAAAAATGCAAGTTTGTTACGCAATATTTTTTATGTTTGTTTCCTCAGAAAGTGTTTATTTGTGAACCGATTCGCATTTTTTATTTTATTTGGTATAATACCTATTTAGGCAAATTTAAAGTTGAAAAGAAAATACCACCCTTACCATCATCATCCTACCCCTTTCCTAAATTTATTCGGGGTCGGTGCAATGAGTTTTTTTATTTCATTCTCCTTGATTACTCGACGTCCACTTTCATGCTGTCCTTCGTTTTATTGCGAAATAGTTTTGACTTTTTATTTTTTGGCCGACCGTCTGTCATGCCAACTCTTCTTCATATATAGTATGAAGCAAAAGATATTCGGGACTTCTAAACACCGAAAGTTTTTCCCTATGATAAACGAAATAATTTTACAGTCCTTTTTCTGCAGGGCAGTTTTATAACATTAAAATTGATTTTGCCTTAGACTAGAATGACAGTTTATTGATTTAATTATTACAGCAATTTGTAGACATATACAGAAAAACTATAATACCAAAAGCTGAGCTTGGACTTCACATGGATTACCAACCGCTGGTTTTCAGCTTAAATCTTTGACTCCCATTTATATTGGCGCATTGAAGTTTTGAACCTCCTTTCTAAGGAGAGGCCTATGTCCAGCAGTGGACTAGTATAGGCTGTTGATGATGATGATGATGATTGAAGTTTTGATCTTGTTGAAATATAAAAATATATAGTTTTTTTTAAACTTAACTATATGTATGAAAATCTTTATCAAAGATTCTCGTTCTGCTGCTTCTTTTCAAATGGTCACATAATTTTAATTTGGAACGACAATGTACGGGGAAGTATACAAGACAAATTAAATGAGCGATCCTAGGCATAGACATATCGAGCAAAGTCCAGCTTCGGGGTCACTTAGAGGGTAGGGTCAAATTAGGCTCGAAGAAGTTCGGTGTGCTGAGCAGATCGAGGCAGTATTTCATTTCGACCCACATCTCCAACTCTATAAGGCGCATGTCCGGCCGCATATGGAATACTGTTGTTATCTGTATGCAGGGGCACCCCAGTACCAACTTCTCCTTCTGGACCGCATCCAACGAAAAGCGACTCGAATGGTCGACAGCCAAAAGATCTATGATCAGCTCGATCCCTTACCGTTATGTAGAGATGTAGCTTTACTCTGCATTCTCTATATATATCATGGAGAATGCTTTAAGAAATTGTTGGGATTAATACCGGCCGCAACTTGCCGCCATCGTTTCTCACGGCAAAAAAAATATCCCTATTACTTCGATAATTGGCACTCCACCACTGTGCGCTTTTCAAGACAGTTTTCGCCTCGTACTACCAATCTGTGTAACATATTATAGTCTGTCTGTGAAGGCACTATTACTTAATGCTTAAATAAATATGTTAAGCTATAGCGTATGTTTTTATCTATTAAAAGGCGGTTTCAAAAACTTCTTCATGTATTACTAGTAAGTACATTACGTATCTAATATTGAGTATTGGTACATTCGTATTCTTCATATTTTATAAAATAGTGTCGTCAACATTCTGTTATGTAATTTATATTTGTAAATATATTGATAGTAAATTTCAAATTGGGAATTTCACAATAATATGATTGTTGATTATAACTTTAGTTGTCAGTTATGTCGATGACTAATTCCGAGAATTACGAAATTAGTAATTCCTTTAAAAAAATTATGATTGATTATTACTACTAATAATTGTCAGTTGTATGGACGAAGAAGAGAAGGAAAACTTGAAACAAACCCTATATACGGTTCACTTTTTTAACGTAAATTACATTATTATCTTTTTTATATTTACAACCGAAATTGTGGTCATTAATTGTGTCGGTAAATACAAATTTCTTTTGTATGGTGCCTGATGCAGCTGTTATATTTCGAGCTACTTCTAATGCAACTTAATAATACCATAGTATTATGTGTGTTGTATTTATGTGCATTTATGTGTGTAGGTAATTGGACCAAATGGTGTATTAAAGAATAAAACGCGTTTGTGGGTGACACATAACCTCTCCTACCTGGCGCAGACAGACTTGGTATTGGTACTCAACGACGGCCAAATATGTGAGGCTGGCAAATATCACGAGCTGCTCGAGAGAAAGGGGGCGTTCGCAGATTTCTTAATGCATCACTTGAGCAATGCCGAACAGACGGACGAAAGTGAGTTTAGTACCTTTGCATATTGTAGTAGAGCCTCGGTATGGAACTTCATATCTGCCTATGGAAAAAAGTCATGTTAAAACAAAATAAAATAATTATTTTTATTCTGTACAAGACTATAGTCTAGGTTTACAATTATATATCACGTATTGTACACCTAGTTAATATGTTACTATTACCTAGATACTATGTTTACATTTTTTATAATTCGCGTTTCACTAGCTCATAAGAATGTTTTTCTACACCGAATATAAAGTAAAATACAATGTGAAAAAAAGAGAACAAAGATAATTTGTGTTAATCAACATTTTTATTCAGTAGGTATAAACACTGTTCACTACTATAAACATTGTTCACAACACACTGTTCGCTACAATGTTCACTATTTCACAGATAACACTGTATCTACTTAGTGACAGAGTCGTCTCTCCCATACAAAACTAAAAATATTTAACCTATTAAAACTTTCAAAATTGAAATAATAATAACTCACCTTAAACACATCCAGAAATATATCATCCACCCACTTTTCTAAAGTTGAGAATGCTTTGTCCGCCATTGCTTTAGGATTTTACAAAGATGACTAAAATGAGGAAAGCCTAAAAAAAGAATTTAGTTTCTTTCCAACAAAAATATACTAAATCCAAGAGAAAACTAAATAACGCCTTTTGTTATTCATAAACATGTTGTGTTAAACTATTAAAATTAAGTATTTAAACTATTAATATTACTACTGAAACCTTCAATTTGTTTTACGACTTTGTGTTACGTGACTTTACAGACTTTATGAGGTTCTCCAGAATCCAAAATATAGTACATATAAAAAAAAAAAATAACTTCAAAATATTCATTATACAGTACAAAGCTTGACAAATTCGGCAAAACCGCGTCTACCGTGACTGATATAATCTATTAATGTTTTTTAGATTTGGAAGCCAAAGTGCAAAGTGAAAAACAATTGATTCAGTCGTTGTCGTCTGGAGACCTTAAATCTCAAAGAAGTGAATCGGGTAAGTTATAGCCTGTGATAATGTCAGATTAAAGAAAGTCCAAACAAATATTGAAAGAAACTGAAGCACTATAAAGAAAGGGAAAAGTTGACACAAACCCTATACCAACCCGTCTAGCCAGCGTGGTATAGAAGGCTAAAATCTCCCTGCTAGAAAATATGCATTTGTAAATTGTTCTTACGCACCTATGCAATATATCACCGAGCAATATGCGACTACTCTAAGGCAGAGAGCCTTAGAGTAGTCGCATTTTTAGTTTTCACCCGAAAACTGGAACTTTTTCTACTCGCCGGATTCTGTTGAAACGTTGTGTAACAAATGTACAGACATGTATGTATGTAACAGACATTGAGATAGTAACAATAAGAAGGTTGTATAATGAGTGTTTACCGTATTGAAGATAACCTGTCGCGTAAACAAGGCCCACGCCTTACAACAATAAAATTATAAAATTTGGTGATTTCATCAGGTGATCATAAACAGAAATTAAAGAAGGAACATGAGGATGAAAATGACGTTGAAAACGAATATGATCAACTTATTGAAGCAGAGAAAGCGGAGTCCGGCAGTGTAAGTGTATTTTAATTTCAAAAGCAATGAAATATTATGTACGTTTGAAGTTTGCGTAATAGTAGGTAGAAGATAGAAAGGGCAAAGACAACTTGTTACTTTATGTTTTTGTGTAAAATCTGTATTCTATCTACATCAGGCGAGGTAAACCTCAATGTTCTTTGCCAAAGTCAAATAATATTTTCGGACATCTTATACACCACGCCATCTAGTTTTAAATTAAGCTAAGCTTGTACTATGAAAGCTAGATAGTCATAATTTTTGTGAACTGTAATATAAGCTGAATAATGACGATTTGTGCTTATAATACTATTGTAATAGTATTGTAATTATAAGGCTCAACACAATGGATCTTTTCGCTCCGGTAAAGTTTTCTGACCGTAGGGCTCGGTGTGATTGTAGAACTTTTACATCACAATAACAGTGTTAGATACAAATTCATGGTTTATGCTATCGTTAAACTGCTTATTTTTAGAATAATTAGAAGGGCGACACTTTTCAAGAAAAAGAACAAACTCAAACTCAACTTCTTTTAGCAGCTGTTGACGTGACAGTTTGGGATGCTGTATTTAATATTTTTTTAATATTTTCGCGTTTTATCCGTAGGTGAAGTGGGCAGTCTACAAGCATTATTTGTTAAATGTTGGCATGCTTGCAGTAGTGGGAACTCCTATAACATACGGCTTAATCCACGGTTTACAAATTGGTGCTAACTTCTGGCTTGTTCGTTGGTCCAATGACAAAAACATGGTTGGTTTTCATTTTACTAATTTGCCTCTTGTACAGAAAGATGGAAAAAGTTGAACTGTTACTCCAAAATTATTACAAAGAGTTATCATAAAAAAGAGATCAAAGGAAAACGTATATTTGCTTTTGAATGCAATTTGCTTTTCAAAATTGATAGCACAAATATTGTTTTTGAGGGATAATTGATTGGATGACTTTGTCAAAAATCGTCGTTGTAAAGATCAGAATTTAATTATTTTCCCAGTTAGTGAATGGCACTGTGGACACAGAATTACGAGACATGTATTTGGGAGTCTACGGCGGCATCGGTCTTGTACATGGTATGTAGAATTTTTACAAAATAAACTGTAAATTTATTTGGGCTACCCTAAATAAATTTTAAGTTCATTTTGTAAAAATATTAATTAATTTGTTCTGTATTCCGTGCAATTTTTTTTTAACACGATACAGGTAAATATCCAAAAAATATTTAAGTATTAGTTCTTAATTAAACTTAAACATGTCATGACTTAATTGTGTTTGAACTCCACTTATACAGAGCCGGTATTTTTTTAAGACATTTTTATAATAATTGGTATCGATTCTTGCCGGATATGTAGTCTTATCTACAATTTAATAATAAAAATGATTGGATTCTTTTATCGATGTATTCTCTCCCATGACACCTAAGGAATAAGGGAGCTCACATTTTTCCAACTATACTTGAAATTCACTTTATAAAGTAGGGGCCAAGCCTATTGCAGTTAACCAGACACTTTAGGAATGAGATAAGAAAATTGGGAGTTCAATATAAATGGGCAAGTTGGTAAATGGGAAGGAAAAGTCAGAAAAGGGAAATGGCTTATAAGGGTGCGATGGATTGGAGAGTATAGGTCATGCATATCTGTAAGTGGTACGACAATTGCCTTGATATCTAGGTCTTCCTCCCTCTAATTTATTAAATTTTATCTTACAGTTTGATTTTATCTTACAGTTTGATTTGTTACAGTGATAGTATCAATATGTGCTGATCTTCTACCGTACTTGGCCTGCTGGAAGGCAGCAAAGATTCTCCATGAAACATTGTTGAAAAATTTACTAAGGGCACCATTGAATTTCTTTGAAGTAACGCCTGTTGGAAGAATAATTACGAGGTTTTCTAAAGATGTGGATTCTGTCGACAGTACCATCCCTTTGCAAATTGCCAACGCCATCAATTTCTCATTTGAGGTATCATTTCTGTTATAATTTATACTGTTTGCAAAACAAATAACGTGTTTTTTTTTTTGTCGAAGCCACACAAGTCGTGGTACAATAAAAAAGACACTAAAAAAATAATGTCAATATTTACTCATTAATACACATCATTAATCCTGACAGATCTTAAGTAAACATGTAACAATGTTGTTCAACGCTATCTATCTAGCAACAACCGCAGTCAACGTCAATAAAATATTAAGTCAGTTGATTTTGAATAGCTGCATGAGGATCGCTCTAAAACTGCATAGTCAAAAGTATATATTGCAAAAATACAGTATAAACTAAATTTCTATTTCGAACAAATATTGTTAATTTTAATTGGAACTTGGAAAAAAAATTGGAACTTATGAAAAGTATTTTCTTTAACTGTTTTAGGTGATAGGAGTATTACTCGTTATATGTTACTCAACACCAATGTTTACCGCTGTAATAATACCTATTGGAATTTTGTACTATTGCATACAAAGATTCTACGTGCCCACGTCTCGTCAGCTTATGAGGATCATGGCTGTAGCCCGCTCGCCGATCTTCTCGCATTTTAATGAAAGCATATTGGGATGTACCAGTATTCGTGCTTTTGGAGTAAAGGACAGGTAATATTCAAACAAAAGTAAAGTGTTTGTAATGACGTTATACTAGTCCATTTATAATTAAATTTTCATTCCGGTTACTATTATAAAAAGAAAAAACTCTTGTTACGGCACATCTGTATTTGTAGATGGTATTTGTTATTTTAAACAAATAAACAATTTGTCTGTATTAAGAGGTCGTTGATTTTGATGTGTCCGTTACGATTACTTCGTCACGTTATCGATACAGTTTATTTGTCGAAATTTAACAAAATCAATCAATCAGGGAACAAACCAAAAATTTGTCAAAGTAGAAGTTGAAAAGTTATAAGGATTTTAAATTGGCCGCGCGAACGAAACGTGGAGGATTGCGCCACGGAGATTTCAGCAATAAGATCTCAGAGATCTAATTATTTTTGTCACTTGAAGAATAAATTTGTCGAAAAAAGAATTATCAGCTACAGATCAATATTTTACGAAATATTCATTAGTTAAACAGACAAAAACAGTAAAAACCAATAAGGAACTGGCCGCGCGATCGAAACGTTACTTTGTAGCCTGATACATATCTCATTATCTATAGGTAAGTGCTAGGATTTTGGCGTGAACATCCATTTATTCGACATATTATCCTCATTTGAATGACATATTGTTTTGCGCTCAGAACAGTTTTCAACGAAATCTCAAAAATAATGTTTTCTCATACAAAGTTCGAGTAGGGTAACCATAATTTCGATTTAATTTGGAAATAGCTCTTGCTCTGCTTGACGAAAATCTATCTATTAGGAAGAATTAAGTTGTAGAATCACGAACGAACGAATCACAATATACAGAACATGGAACTTATCTCGCGATTCAAATCAACATATGGCCAAGTGTCGAGTGAGATTAACGGCTCATTTTAAAGAAATGCTATAATTTTTTTCATGATATTCATTAGGATTGCGTGATAATTGTTGATTGTAAAATTTTGTTGTTGCAAGATCCATAAACCAGGTTCTTTTTTTTCACTCCAATTTTAAGGATTCTATTTCCAGGATGGGAAAAAAAGAAGGAAAAAAAACAGTCATGTACTAATTTTTTGAGCTTTAACCTGAGCGGTTAAAGCTCAAAAAATTAGTACATGACTGTTTTTTTTTATATAATTGAAAGTTTTAAATAATAAAAAATCTCGACCTAAACGGTAGGGTACAAGTTTATAAAAATATATTATTTTATTATCTCATAATTATATAAAAAAAATATACATTATGTTTTCTCGAGTACAGTGTTGTCAGAACACAGTTTTGAAGTATATTGCATTAAGTAAATATGTAATATAACGAAGCAGGTTAAATAAATGTAAACGTCTTATTTATATAGACTGTTAGATAAGATTGTTGTATATGTTGCAACGTTTACTGTAAGATATTCAGTTAAATATTTATTAACACTCTATCTGAATTTCAGATTCATTGCAGAATCCCAGGGAAAGGTAGATTATTTTCAATCATTCTCCTACTTAAGGTTCGTTGCGGATAGGTGGTTGGGAGTCCGGCTTCAGATTGTCGGCAGTCTTATTATATTCTTTGCTGCATTATTCGTAGTGATCAGTCGGGATGGTATCAGTCCAGGACTTGCAGGGCTGTCTGTCAGCTACACATTGGAGGTATTTTTTAACATTACAATATTTTTGGTACTACCTAAGTACCTACTGCATCCGACTTATTAATATGTATTTGTTACAGATCACTCAAACCTTAGGATTTTTAGTAAATGCTACTTCAATAATAGAAACTGAAATTGTAGCAGTAGAACGGATGAAAGAATATGCTGAAACGGAACAAGTAAGTGTATATTTAGACGAACAACCTATTCTCATATTGTAAACTGTAAAATAACAATGACCTAAATATACGCGATACAGGAAGCAGAGTGGATAAAGGCCAAAGGTCCACATCCTTCCTGGCCCGAGAAAGGAGCGATTGAATTTGAAGGTCTAACTATGGCATACCGCAATGGAGCAGAGCCAGTGTTACATAACATTACATGCACAGTGGGGCCGGGTGACAAGATTGGTGTAGTTGGTCGCACCGGCGCAGGCAAGTCTACGCTCACACTCGCCCTGTTCAGGTATGTACAATGTGTTTTGTTTATTTCACATACTTTGCACATGTGCCTGACACTCCTTTTTTGTAGGATTATGGAAGCGGTGGCGGGACGAATACTTATTGACGGGCTGGATATTGCCGAAATGGGTCTTCACCAGTTGCGTTCGCGAATCAGTATCATCCCGCAGGATCCGGTGTTGTTCTCAGGCTCTTTGCGAATGAACCTTGATCCCTTTGAAAGTTATTCGGATAATGAAATATGGAGCATTCTCGAGCACGCACATCTCAAGTCCTTCGTAAAGAGTAAGTTACAAAAAAATTAGTCCTAACTTGTAAGGTGCTACCAAAGGTAAATAGATTAGATAACATATCCTGAAACATGACAATACTAATACAACAAAACAAAGCTACCATAATAATGGCATCGTTCACATACCGTCTGGTAGCTGGCAGGTTACAAAATGCAATACCTGAGCTCTCCTCGTCAGAACAGGTCTATTAGAATAATAAAATAATAATAATATATTTTACCACATTCACACAACGCCATCTAGTCCCAAATTAAGCAGAGCTTGTAATATGGCTACTAGACAACTGATATAAATACAAATATACTTTTTTTTTGTAAATACATACCTACATGTTATACATAGGAACACCCAGACCAAATCAAACATTAAATGTTTGACTGAATGCACTAAATGCACACAAATGTTTGACTTGAGCGGGAATCGAACCCGCAACCTTTGGAATAGCAGTCCGTTACACAAACTACTATGCCATCCGGTCGTCAATATCTACGATGACTTGACTTGTAGTGATTTAAGTGGTCACTTCGCCACTTCTTACTACGCTGAGTGTTGTGGGTTCGATCCCCATATGGAACAAAACTTTGTGTGATCCATAAAATTTTGTTCTGACCAAACTCATGGGTGTTCTTTGTGATGGATAGTAAATTGGTTAGTATACTATCCGTCTAAGCAAGTATATTAACAAAACAATTAAAAAATTAGCTTAGCAGAAGGATCGAGTATCACAATGTTAGTATGTGTGTCTTACAGGTTTGCCAGCTAGACTGCAATATGAGGTGCTGGAGGGTGGTGCAAACCTATCACTGGGTCAGCGACAACTCGTTTGCCTGGCACGGGCGCTTTTACGTAAAACTCCATTGCTTGTGTTAGATGAAGCCACGGCTGCTGTGGACTTGGAGACGGATGAGCTCATCCAGGTATTATTGAAATAAGATTAGTATTTAATAAAATTGTATTTGACCTTTGGAGAATACTACGTTAGAAAAGAATATACCGTTGTCGGCTTTTTTTATCTTTAAAATATGTTGTCAATGTAAGCGAAAAAGACGTCTTACTGAGGTACTTTTACTTACTTTTCTCATAGAGCTAAAATAAAATCATATAGAAAGATTTACATCATGTCATTTGTTATAGAAAACCATCCGATCTGAGTTTGCATCGTGCACCGTGATTACTGTCGCTCATCGGCTTAATACTATCTTGGATTCAACAAAAGTCATGGTACTAGATAAAGGTCACCTTATTGAGTACGCACCTCCAGACAAACTGCTACAGGATAAGAATTCAATGTTCTACAGTTTAGCTAAAGATGCTAGGCTGGTATAGTCAAATCTCTTGACTAGTCGTACTAGTTGATTTAAACAATTTGAAGAAAAACTCAAGCGGAATTAAAGACATCAGTTAATGGGATGACATCAAATAGTTGTTGTTAAATCCTTATGAAGAAGTTAATGTGTAGTTTGTGTACGGTATGCTGTACAAATAAAAACACTTCTCATGGGGCAGTTATCTTCCAGAAACGGTGTGAAATATGTAGTTCCAATAAAGATGAGATCTATTCTAAAGGTAGAGCATATCGAAATATATAAGGATTATTCTAGGTATAAGAGTTAAGCTGAAAGTGATCTTACCTCACAAGGATTGCTTGCAGCCTTAAGACGATTCGCTGCTAGAAAAGGGCAATCTGTAGAATTATTTAGTCACAATGGCACTAAATAATAATATGGTACTTTGTATATATATAATGGTGTCGCGCACGAATTAAGGAACTTTTTGACCATGAAAAGTCAGCCTTGGCGATGGAAGTATCTGAGGGCTTTCTTTAAGCTTTGAGGGCTGGCTTGGTAGAAAATGGCACAACCTGGCACTTTATTTCAACACGAGCTTCTCACCACATGCTTCAGTAGTTTGGTGAAGATTGTCAACTGGGAAAATTCAGCGAATTCAAATTAAATCATTTCTTATCTTGTAATAAATAGGCAAGTCGCACTTTGGAACCAGACGTCAATTAGTAAAAGAGAACTATCTGCCTCCAGCCAAAAGGCTGTTAGTAGTTATCGCCAAAGAACATAACATGGGTTTCCTATAACAAAGCTGTGTGTTTTACCTTTTGCACGTTGAAATTTAAGTTAGTGCTTAAATTTCAACGTGTATGATCCTTTTTTTTTGTAATGTACATTTTATTAAAATTTATCTTGTATCTGTTAAGCTATAAAGCTATTACTTGATAGCAATTGTTCATTTATAAGCTACTAAACTTTCATTTGTATATGTCAAACTCTTAAGATCGTTTGTTCATTCATTTTTGTAAGTAACCAATTGTGTATAATATTTAATTTAATTTGTTATTAAACTTGCAAAGTTCATTTTGATCGTCTTGCTTTTATTTCTTTACCTTAAACTTTACAGCTAGAGCAGTTGGCCAAACTTCTGCCTACCATGCCTTTCATGGTAGGCGGAAGTATGGGCATTCTGCCGAATGGCGGGCGGGATGTATAATGTCTATGATAGTGATGATGATAACTGCATGGATGACGTAGTAGTTTAAGCGGTCACCGCACCGCTTCCTACTACGCTGAGTGTCGTGGGTTCGATCCCCACATCGGACGACATTTTGTGTGAGCCACAAATTGTTGTTCTGAGTCTGGGTGTTCTTTAAGTCCGTGTCATGTTTCATTATAAAGTTCCCCGCGACACAGAATACTTTCCTAATGCAAGAAACGACTTTAAAAAATTGCTACTTATTGCTGTTTATAAATGACACTACTGGTACCATTTCTGAAATTCGGAATGGTTTCGTTACGAATGTAAAAATAAACAGCAATATTTAGTCCAAATTAAATGTTTTCGTCAATCAAAATAATAATTAGATATTGTAAACAATATCTAATTATTATTAGATATTGTTTAATAATAATTAGATATGATTTTAATAATAATTTGAAACCATTAAGAATTTAGAAAGCTAAAGCTTTGACGATGATAGCCTTATGCTTAAATTCAGATTGATCTCTGAAATATATGTGTGAGAACCGAAACGGTATTTTGATTGTGCAAATTTCGGTCTTTTTAATGCATACGTAAAAAGAGGAAATAAGCAGGCAAATATGTGAATACCTCACCCAAAAATTTATTGTCGTTTCAGTAAACTATGTACTTAGATTTGGTATTATCAGCTAAGTAAAATATTCTGCAAAAGAAACATTTACCTGACAAAATAAAAAAGTCGATGAGTAAGATGATAAGTATGGGCAGCAACGCACTTGTGACTTTTGAGTTGCAGGTGTCTATGGGCGGCGGTAGTTGCTCACTATCAGGTGACCCGTCTGCTCGTTTGCACCCTTAAACCATAAAAAAACCTAGTAACTTGAGTAGCTAAAAAGTGGCTAAGTGTTTTTGAAAAGAATTAAAGCGTCAGGTTGGCGCTAGCAACAACGAAAAATTAAAATATCACCACGGCATTTATAGTCACTTGTGAAAACCACACTTACCTTTACTAAAATAACTAGTTTCTTTAAAAAAAAAAACTGGGCTCTCTAATGTCACCACTACATAATCACTACTGTGTCGCGCAAGAAGGTCGAACAATACCCGTCAAATCCATCCATCGAATCTATCGCATCAATCCAGGGATCAAATAGTAAGTATTTACTGTTATCTATCGCTGATGTTTGACGACACTGATTAAACAAACATTTTCAGCTAAGAACAAACCAGGGAGTGAATTAAATATTTTTGTTAGGATAATATTTCAAAACAACTTTTCAACAATTATAATTATATTCATTTAAATACACATAAAACACATCTTTATTACATATTCCACTACTTTTTCACATCAATCTAAACGATACACTCTAGAGATAACAATAAGTGGTTCCTTAGGATATTATTCTCTTTTTTACCAAATTGTATGCCAAACGCATTTGTAATAAGTAGTCGCAGATTAGTAGCGACATCCCAACTTTGGTTTGAGTCGATTAGTAGCGAATGACATTACTGTACCAAGTAAATTGATTCATTGATTTACTTAAAGTTATTTCACTCATTTACGTATGCGTGTTTCTATATATAATAATACATGCAAATAACAAATCGTCAAGTTCATTGGAAAGATATTTGACTCTAAGGAGTCAATCAAATTAACCTAGGCAAGACTGTAGATTTTACAAATTACAAGGTGACCTTTACTTTGTCTTAGCCTGAAAAAGTATTAGGAAGGAATCTGTAATTTTATTTAGTTCCATTCGCATCTAATCTCTTGTTGTGCCTTTAATAAATAGTCGTCACACACATAAGCCGGTGCAAGAGTCGACGTAACAATGACCGAAAAACTTGTTTGAATCTACCTATTCTAAATGGTTTTGAGGTTCAGTTGTGCAGTGAAATCCAACAAGGTAAACTTTAAATAAAGGTACCTTAGAATACATTAATATTGTTATATACCTACACAATAATGTATGTGGTGCGAGAAAAATTTAAACAAATGTGTATCTAAGCGGAAGTGACTCGTTTTAAAAATAATTCAGACATAACATCTTTCATGTCAGAACACTCAATTATATCAATCACCCGTTATTTATTAAATAAAAGATAGCGTTGGCGATAATTCTAACAATAATACTGAGTGCTAATTCATTTTCTACCTTTATCAGGCTCTGGCTAAGGTTCCTACTGACAAGAGCCGCTTTTAAAGCAAATTAAAATAAATTAAATTAATGCGATATGCGAGCAATAACATCAAAATGGCAATGTATGGCATTACACCAATAAGTTCTTGATTAACTACATACATACATGACTGAGGCTGTATCGGTGAGTCGATCGCCGTCATGAATTTCTTTCTAAACTACTGGCTTGCACTATTTCCCTATATAATCAACAGGAAAATTTAGCTCACTAAACCTCCATCTTTGGCTAGACTATAAAACATAGAGTTTTTGTTCTGTAGTAGTTGCTCTGGAGGCGCATATTCGATGAGTTGACCCTTGTCCAGAACCATAACCTTAGTGGAGTCCATTATAGTGTTCAGCCGATGAGCGATGGTTATCACAGTACATGCCGAGAATTCAGATCGTATAGTTTTCTGTAACAAACAACACATTATGAATATTGCGGCATTAGTGTTTATGAAGATGTACGTATTCAGTTAGCCATATGTATACATACCTGAATAAGCTCATCAGTTTCAAGGTCAATCGCAGCAGTTGCCTCGTCTAATACGAGTAGAGGAGTTTTTCGCAGCAACGCTCTCGCTAAGCAAACTAGTTGTCGTTGTCCTAATGATAGGTTCTCACCGCCTTCCAATACCTCGTGTCGTAGCCCTGCAGATAGTCCTGTAGATACACAAACCTCATTAATGTCACATGTTCTTTTGATTTTGCCTAAAAATATATTTACTACTTACCAAGTACGTAAGGTTTGAGATGTGCATGTTCGAGAGCACGCCAGATTTCATCGTCTGAGTATGACTCAAAAGGATCGAGATTCATTCGTAGTGAGCCTGAGAATAGCACAGGGTCTTGTGGAATAATAGTGATACGCGAACGCAGCTGATGTAGACCTATTTTAGAAATGTCGAGCCCATCGATCAGAATACGGCCTGCTGTTGCTTCTACAATCCTGTGAAGAGTTCCGTTATAAGTTTTTACACGTTTCGTACTTGGGTAAAGATTTTGTGTTTGTTAGTTGCAGTTAGTAATAAATACCTGAATAAACCAAGTGTGAGTGTAGACTTGCCAGCACCGGTGCGCCCAACTATACCAACTTTATCTCCCGGCGCTATTGAACATGTGACGTCATGTAGAGCGGGCTCCGCTCCATTGCGATAAGCCATAGTTAATCCTTCGAATTCGACGGCTCCTAACTCTGGCCATGAAGGGTGTGGGCCTGGAGTCTTTGTCCACTCTGCTTCCTACAGGCATACGTTAAATGATAATATTTTTAATGATGATGATAACATTTCCAGATAATATTTGACTGTTGTCTATCTATATGTTTCATTTACTTACTTGTTCTATTTCAGCATACTCTTTCATACGCTCCACTGCTACAATGTCAGTTTCTACTATTGATGTAGCTTGAACCAAATAACCCAAGGTTTGTGTGATCTAAAACCAAATGAAGAATTATTATCTCAATTCTCATTTAAAAAAATACACAAGTGGTAAAAATACCTCTAATGTATAACTGATGGAAAGCCCTGCGAGGCCCGGATTAATAGTCTCTTGACTGATCACCGCGAATAATGCTGCGAAGAATATTATAAGACTGCCTATCACTTGGAGTCGAACTCCGAGCCATCTATCCGCAACGGCTCTCAGATAGGTATATGACTGATAGTAATCAACTCTCTCTTGAGATTCTTTGATAAATCTGTAATTCATACACAAATTATCGTTATTCGAAAACAGCCAGGTACAGAAATTAAATCTTATTACTAGGCGCCTATTTAAAAAAACGTCTCAAGTATTGGTTGAACTATGATTGCCTGAAACTTGTTTTAAGTGCAGATCAAAACTTAAGAATCGATCTTACTGTAGAACGTGTTTTAGGTTTTACTCAGTTGAAACTACTTTCAAGTATTGATTTGAACTTACAGTCTGTTCTTAATAACGTTTCCTCATGATCGACATTATGATTCCTTATTAAGTAGCTAATTATTTAAACTATTTTGTATATAGTGAAAAAAATAGGTAAGTAAGTTAAATAAAAATGAATTGATTATGTATGACAAGTAATTCTTTCGTAAATAAAGTAAAGTAAATCTTTCGTAATTATTCAGAAACAAATCATCGTAAACACATAATTTTTCTTAAAATGTCCTAGAAATTACCGCTTGAGACTTTCAACTTGAAACTCGAACTCACGTAAATAAAGATCACATCATTCTTTCAAAATCTATACCTGAGTAAAGATTTTGACATAAACATCGTTCTAAAATAAGTTATCAGTCACTTGAGTATGGATCCGTAAATCTCGTTTTAAGTGACGTTCAATAATAAAATCTTTATTTAAATTTAGATTTAAGACTAGATTCATGACTGAGACACCTTTTAAAATACGGGCCCTTGAGTTTGAACCACGGTTTGAAATTTCGCGTTAGCTGTTCCTCAGCAACATGTGTAGTCAATTAATTTCTTAGAGTATTTTAATGCGAATAATTAAAACAAGCACTTTAATTTAATACAAATCTAAGTAATCTAGTAGATATCATTTATTGAGTGAATCCTTTTACTTTATCTACTACAAGTTTGTCTATTTACTTCTTACCTGTCCTTAACCCCAAAGGCACGAATACTGGTAGCACCCAAAATGCTTTCATTAAAGTAGGAAAATATCGGAGACCGAGATACAGACATAATCCTCATGAGCTGTCTCGATGTCGGCACGTAGAACCGCTGTATGGCGTAATATAAAACTCCAATAGGTATTATTACAGCCATAAACAAAGGTGTTGAGTAACTTATCACGAGCAATGTTCCTAAGACCTGTTAATAAAAAAGATCATCCTTACAATATGCATACGGCAAAAATTATATTAATGGTATACATGGTATGCATCTACTGCCATTTTTCCCTTTATTGTCGAATATAAATTTCATACATGCATACTTTATTATCAAAAGTTTCTTTGTTTCAAAACAAGAAAAGAAGAAGTTTATATCACTACAAATGTTACCTCAAAAGTACAGTTGATTACGGTAGCTATTTGCCAAGGGAGAGCCACATCTACGGAATCTACATCTTTAGACAGCCTTGAGATTATTCTGCCAACAGGAGTTACTTCAAAGAATTGCAACGGTGCTCTGAATAAATTCTTTAATAATACTTCATGGAGAATTTTTGCTGCCTTCCAACATGCCAAGAAGGGCAAAAGATCGGCGAATATTGATACTGTCACTGCAATGTTTTTACTGATTAGTTATGTTTATTAATGCAAACTTTGCTTAATCTTAAAGTAAACTGAGATGACAGTGTACTTCACATCACATCAACAACCTTTTATAGTCCACTGCAGGACGTAGGACTGTGTACTTAATAATTAGTAATATACCAAGAGAATAACTCGTGGCCACCTCCTTGAGACCTCTGCAAGCTTATTTTTATCTCAGCAGATCAGCGGTTAAAGCGTGAAAGCATGCCTCCAAATAAATGTTAACAGTCGTATCCAGCTTACAGTAGTTGCAACAATGCCACTTTTAGAAATACCCTTCATCACTCACATCAACAGCCTTTAATAGTGCACTGCTGGTATGTCTAGCATCCTTAGAAAGAAAATACCCTTAGCTTATTTTAAATTACATGTTCTTATAACTACAACTACACAAAGCACTATTTCAACTCGTAAATATAGTAATCAAGTGTGATTAGTATGACGTAATAATAATAATTTTATAATGCACTAGCAGATCATAGATCTGATGAGTGCATATGACTGCACTTGAGTTCCTTTTGTTGTTTTTAAATGTTCGTCTAATCTGTTTAAAAAAAAAAACACTGATCCAGTGAATACTAAAACTATTCCAAATGGTCACTACGCGATTTAGTAGAAAGTGTCTTCTAGGGTTGCTAACAGTACTAACAGCTAATGTAAGTCATTGTTCAACTTTGTTTCCTGCGTTTTAAAGTAATTGGCTGTACTTTGTAACAAAACATGTAGGTGTACTCTAGTGTGTCAATTTATTGTTTTTAACACTACATACTTCAGACAAAGTCTCGACGTCTCCCAAGATATTGATCGCAAGTCTTACTGCACAATGTGATTTCTTCCTGACTACTATAAGACATATTTTGATGATCGGAGAATGTATAGGATTATTCGGTAATAGTTGCCATTACTATATTGTTAATATAACTAAGGGTAGCTTAAAAAGTGAGAGGTACCATGAATAAAACCGATGCCGCCGTACACTCCAAGATACATGTCTCGCAACTTTGTGTCCACAGTGCCATTCACGAGCTAAAGAAAAACAAAATCGATATAAATACAATATGGCACATACACGTAGCATGTGCATAAAATCCTTAATTTTTCTTTAAAGCGTAAAAAATATTAGTCATTTTGCGATTTGTTCGGCGGCAAATATTTTGATATCTTTTACCAATTATTATTATTTGTTTAATACCTACTGCAAATACGTCGCATAAGGCGGACTTAATGCCATAGGCATTTTCTTCCAGTCAACCCAATTATAAGAGTTACAAATATAAGGTTTAGCTTCAGTTTTTATTCGCTATTTATGCCAATTAATGCTTTGAAGAATAGACAACAAGCTTGTAATATTGAATGCAAACATAAAAATATTGATTAAGATAAAACATTAAAAGAAATTAAAAGCCTACCATATCTTTCTCATTAGACCAACGAACGAGCCAAAAGTTACCACCGATTTGTAAACAGTGTATCGCGCTGTATATGAAAGCAGTTCCCAGAGCTGCAAAAACACCAACATTCATCAAGTAATGTTTGTAAACTGCCCACTTTACCTGTAAATAAAACGAACGAATTATTGTAACATATAATAATCATCTTACGATTTCATTTCAATATAGTAAACATATATTATTAGGGCATAAAATATTGGGTGAACTTCTTCGAAATGATAAATTAAAGTTTCTATATTAAAGCAAAATATTGCGACACAAAATCGCTTTGTTCATAAATTGCTTAAAAATACGAAACTAATTTACTTGTTGCATGGCCATGTAATGGTTTTACAAATTAGTTACTATGCATTCAATATACTCACTCTGCCGGTTTCTGCTTTTTCTGCTTCAATAAGTTGATCAAACTCATTTTCGACCTCAGTTTCGTCCAAACGTTCTTTCGACTTTACATGATCACCTGAAACATTTTATTTATTGTAATTTCATCCTTAGAAACTTATAATTAATTCTTATCTGTAGTCATAGGTCCTGTGGAGTATTTAACGTATATAAAAAACAGTGTGTGGACCGTACCTCCCCCTGCTCCTACATACGTAGGCCTGTTGCGTAGTGGTTAGTGACCCTAACTGACTGCTGAATCGGAGGTCGTGGGTTCGATTCCCACCCAGGACAAATAATTGTGTGACGAGCACGATCGTTGTAATGTCTGGGTGTAATTTATCTATAATATGTATGTATTTAGAAATAGTAATAATAATAATATTCTACCACATTCACACAACGCCATCTAGTCCCAAACTAAGCAGAGCTTGTATTATGGGTACTAGACAACCGATCTAAATTCATGAATACTATTTTTTTCGTAAAAACTTACATAATATACGTAGAAACACCCAGACCAAATCAAACATTATATGTTCATGCAAACAAATATTTGACTTGAGCGGGAATCGAAGCCGAGACCTTTGGAATAGCAGCCCGTTACACAAACCACTACGCCATCCGGTATCCGATAATATATAAAATATATTAGTATGTTTATCAGCATTCTGGTTACCATAGCACAAGTTCTGCCTAGTTTGGAATCAGACAGCCGTGTGTGAGATGTGAGAAGTTATTGTTATACGATCCCATCATTACCTGCAGTAATTGTTTCAGGCACAGAATGGGTACCAGCTGACAAAGACCTAGCTCTTTGAAACCTGTCTTCAAATGTCGAACCAAGTTTACTCTCTAAATCGTGCTTGACATCTTCCAAATCTGTGAAGGCAGAACAATTGATAAAATATAATCTAAGCCAAAGCTGGATGTTCAACAGCTTTTGGAAATAATTGTGGCTATAACTGATCTTAACCAAAGTAATAATTACACTAACGTTTTACAATTACTTACCATCTTCTTTGGCTGATTGTTCTACATCACTTAGGTGGTGCAGAAGAAAATCAGCAAAAGCACCCTTTTTATCCAACAGCTCGTGATATTTGCCAGCCTCCCAAATCTGACCGTCACGCAATACTAAGATCAGGTCAGTTTGCGCAAGGTAGGATATATTATGTGTTACCCACAGACGAGTTTTGTTTCTAAGTACACCATTCGGGCCTATTACCTGTACGGAAACATAAAGATGTTGTCTCATCGTTGTCAAAACATTATTACTTACTATCTACAATCGTTTAAATATGGATAACAGAAATAATGACCACCAGAACTTTGTACAAAAGTAAGTACTATTTGGCAGTTAATACGGATGGCTATCGATAAACCTCAGAATTCTTACTTCATTGAAAAGATGTTTCCCAACATGCGAGTCTACGGCACTGAGTGGATCATCCAGGAAGTAGTTGTCCGCATCAAAGTAAACCGCACGCGCTAGTGACACACGTTGCTTCTGGCCACCCGACAAATTTATACCTGTGAATACATGAAATGATATGATATCTTTGTCTACTGACCGATTATATTGTATATTTCTAGTGTCTGCCTTACCCTTTTCACCAATTTCTGTCTGATCGCCACCAGCAAGAATAGCTAAATCAGTTTTTAACGCACATGCTTGTATAACTTGATTATATCTAGATTTGTTAAGTGGCTTGCCAAATAAAATATTGTTTTGTACAGTAGCGTTTTGTATCCAGGCCTGTTGGGTAACGTACGCTGTTTCACCTGAAAATTTATAATAATTCCTATTTATAGTGAGTATATTTATTTGATATGTTTTTATTTTGAAATAAATAGTTCCCGTTCAGCACCTAAGATCTAGTTATAAGTTTACTACAAGTGTGGGAGGATAATTATATATAATATAATTTAATATAATATTCTACCACATACACACAACGCCATCTAGTCCCAAACTAAGCAGAGCTTGTACTATGGGTACTAGACAACTGATATAAATACATATATACTTTTTTTTTTGTAAATACATACATATTATACATAGAAACACCCAGACCAAATCAAACATCCTATGTTCATGCATACAAATGTTTGACTTGAGCGGGAATCGAACCCGCGACCTTTGAAATAGCAGTCCGTTACACAAACCACTACGCCCTCCCGTCGTCAGATATTGATTGAAATTAGGACGTACACAGTCGTTCTTATTTTAATTATCCTCCGATAATAACAATTTAATATTAACGAGCTTATAACAACTCTAATTAAATATTACAAGACATAAAATTTCAATACAACAATATTAGCACTGATAGGTAATCAACCTTTTTGAATTCAATATATTCCGATTGCTTTCAAAATACCGTTCTGAACATTAAAATGTATTTGTCTCCTAATACAGGCATTATTTGCTTAAAGGAAAGCTCCAATCTGAAGTAATGTTCTACACATATTTGGTAACGAAATAAAAAAAAATGTATGTGTAAAAAATTTTTTTTCTTACTTTGTTTACTGACTTTCCCTACTATAATAAGTAAAAATATAAAAAAAATGGCTTAACTTTTTATAAGGTACAGGTTATTTGCTATTCTGTTTGGAATATATATCTATTCATATTGTTCAGTTAACTTATTTTGTCATGGGAGCCGACGTCACGGTGCCATCATTATGATGACTGCCCTGACGACACGGCGCTTTACACACTGGCGGCATGCCCAGCTTGGGAAAGCCAGAGTTGTGATCTGATCGCGGCGGTCAGTCATGCGGGTGGTGTCTTGCTCCTGACTTTGGTTTTCTTCATAGTCCAGAGCGACAGTGCATGAAACGCCGGTAACGGTATACGAGGTAATGTCCTCTACCTCCCTCCCTAGTGGCCTGCGGGCGATGATGTTTTGGAATTCGGAATCCGAAGAGATACAGGCCTGAGAGGTAGCGCACAGTGTTCCGTGTGCGCTTCTAGAGGACTTCGACCGAAGGGTGACGAGACTCGTCTTTGGTGAAACGGGTCAATGCCAGTTGGGAGGTCATTGGCAAGCAGAGGAACATCAGGGTGGTTTTTAGTCGGCAAGAGTACGACAGAACCCTTATCCCCCCTCTACTTTAGACATGAAATACAACACACTTTTTTGCAATACATTTTTTACCACAGCGAAGCGTGGTAAGTTACAGCTAGATAAAAATGTATTGTTGCTTTGTGTACTCTTCAATAACTCAAAAAGTTCTTCACCGATTGAGCTCAAATTTTGACACCATGTATAAACCGCTTCAGAGATAGTTTTTATCTAATTTTCGCGTCAGTTTTGTTCCCCATTTCTCATTTTTAATCAATCCAACCACAGTGCCACAGCGTCGCGAGGCAGGGTACAGCTAGTTTAATATAAGTATTTTGGGTCGGCATAACTCAGCGTATAACTAATTTCCTCTAATTAATTTCAAGAAGCAACAACCGTACCGTAACCGTTTATTGTGTTTATGAGTCCATACATATGTTAATGCTCAGTTTTATATTGCTAGTCACATATACTCGTATATTCATAACCCTTTATTGAAAACTAAGCGTACAATTGTAATCAATTTGTAACAATGAAAATTAATGACCGTGTTAAACGTCTTCTAACCCGTATGTACGTAGTTAATTTACAACTTTACGATTCGTTTAAAATAGTTAAAATTGAATGTTGTCCATACTGATAAAAGTAGTAAATTTGTTAATCCGTATTATGTGTATAGATTTAAAAATTTAAAGAGTAAAGCTTTGAAAATACCTTTTATGTTAACACGCCCCGAAAGTTTATCCATGTCTCCAAGCAGCGCAGAAATTAGGGAGCTCTTGCCCGAACCGACAGCGCCTACGACAGCCACAAGCAATCCACGAGGAATACGAATGTTTATGTTGCTCAACACTGGCTCCGCATCCTCACCACCCCAAGAGAAGTGACCGTTTTCAATTAAAATCTGGTCACCTACAATTATTTTTAAACAGAAAAATATTTAGCCATAAAAATTAAGAGAGCGAAGTATGCATAACAAAAAAGTCTTTTCAGTTTATATTTACTTACGTTCATTTAGATTGTGTTCTATCATACGTGTATCTAATTCTTCAGAGTTCATAAATTTATTTAATCTTTTGATGCTTACATAAGTCTGTAAATGATCAAATTCAGTTTTAATTTTTGTATGTTAGCAAAACAAAATAATTGTAAGCACTGTAACCAACCTGTATTGCGTTAGATATGACATTAGGTAACATTGTCATAGGGTAACGAAGTACATTAAAAAGAGCTAAAGCGACGAATGCTCTTTTCGAATCTAGAACTTCTGTGTCGTGTAATAAGACAAAACAGCCAAATGAACTCAGTGAGACCTGGAAACAAAAATTAACCCTAAGTACCTAAGTAAGAACGTATGATGAATCAAAATGATATATCACTTACAAGAAATGGTGTGGAGAACCAAACGAAAGCTGTGATAGATCCATAATAAACCATCGTCTTCAAAATATGCAACTCTTTATTTCTTATCTTAAGAACATGTTCTTGAAAGCTCTTCTCCCATGCGTATATTTTAAGAACCTAGCAGAAAACAATACAGTTTACCAATAATCATTCTAAACATATAGATAAAGACAGAATTTTGTGCTATATCTTACTTTCATTCCATTAAGTACTTCGCTCATTAATTTAATTCTTTCATCTTTACAGTGCATTAACTTTGTTTGAAATTTTTCCTGTATACCAGCAAAGAATGCATTGATCGGCATTAGTAATATAATTACTGCTAAGCCGGCCAGGACTGCTGCCCCTAGGACACCCCATAAGAAGTACATTGCCAATGCTACCTGCAATGGTGCAGACCATACTAAATGTATAAGGGTTAAGTCGTTAAACCTGAAATAGCAAAAGAAAACCATTAGCACTTTTCTTACGGTTTATCGTTTACATTTCAAGAAATCACAAAATGTGTATTATTTAAAGGTTACTAGTTATTAATAAATGGCAATAAAAAAATTAACAAAATGCTGCCGCGCCGCTTCCTACTACACTGAGTGTTGTGGGTTCGATCCCTACATGGGACAACACTTTGTGTGATACATAAGTTGTTGTTCTGAGTCTGGGTGTTCTTTGTGTCCATTTCATATATGTTTGTAAAGTCTCCCGCGACACAACATAGTCATAGTCATTTATTCATCAACAGATTTCATTGTATTTAAAATATACGAGTAATAATTAATAAAATAATAGTAATAGTATTTAAATTAAAAAAAACATAATTGTGTCATCATTAGTTATCATTCATACAATTTCATTAGCATTTTTAACACAGTCATTTTAATACAACGGTAATAATTAAAAATGTCTAAATAATATAATGTTACTGTAAAAATTGTATAATTTAATTCAGATAAATTCACTCTCTTGTTACAATTCATCAATAGTATAAAGGCATCTGTCCAAAATGAAAGCTTTTTATTTTAAAGGAACCTGCATATAACGCTCTCTTTATATCCTCAGGCAACCGATTATACAGCTGTACCGCTTGATGTCTGGCGTTGTGTTTTACGACATTTAATTGGGGAATAATATTCGTTTTAAAATCTTTTCTACGTGTATCTTCCCTAGCTTTTCTTTCAGTGCTATTTTCAAAACTACCTATATGTTTTGCAAAATTACTCAATACCACTAGAATATACGAGTAAAGGCTAGGAACTGTAAGAATTTCTGTGCTTGTGAAGTATGGTCGACAACTCTCTCTTTGTGGCACGTTAACCATAGTGTGAATAGCTCGCTTTTGTGAAATAAAAACTCTTTGTATATTGTAACCATAACTATGACCCCAACATTGGATGCTGTATCATAATTTTGATTCCACAAGCGCATAGTACACCATTTTTAGTCTTTCTATATCTAGGTCGTCTCTAAGGGATCTTATAGCGTAACATGCAGATGATATGGAGGTAGTTACTGCATTCAATTCAGCTTTCCAATTCAGCAAGTCATCTATATTTATACCTAAAAATTTTACTTCTTTAACCACATCAATTTTATTACCATTTAATTTCCATAGTGTTTTTATTTCGTGACCTACTCCTAAATAATATAATTTGAGTTTTTGCGGTATTTGTTAAAAACTTATTTACGTTAAACGATTGCAAAAAGCCTTTTAATAGTTTGCTTACTTTATTGGACCAAACTTCCATATTATTTCCTTCTATAATTGCGTTGGGGTCATCAGCAAATACCACTAATTTGGAGTCAGGAATAATTGTATAAATAAAATTAAAAATATCATTTGTAAAAATCATAATCAACATCGGACCCAGGATAAACCCCTGTGGTACCGCAGTCTTAACATTTGCCATTGCTGATTTATGTACGGATATATGTCCTTTTTTGTCGTGAACAGCTGTAATGGTTTCCCCCTTACTTCGTAGCTCTAGATTAACAATCAAAAGTTCGTTTTCTACTGTATCAAAGGCGCAACTAAGGTAAGGATTAATTTCCTCCAAGACATCATTCAATACAGTGTAAATGGCATCCGCAGTACCAACGCCTTTCTGATACCCAAATTGTCTAATATTTATAACTTTATTTCGATTTAGATGAGACAGTAAACGACTCTTTAAAACTATTACAAACAACTTTGAAAGCGTGGGTAGTAATGAGATCTTCCTATATTTTTTTGGTTCTGTTTTACAACTTTTTTTATAGATGGGAACAATTTAGCTACTTTAAGTTGTTCGGGAAATACCGATTCATCTATGCATCTATTAAAAAAATTACTTAAAAGTAAGGCTAATATTTCAGCATGCTCTTTAATTACACCAATGAGAATTTCATCAAACCACATGAACGCTTATTTTTATTGAGGTAAGTATTTTCAATAGTTCATGAGGTGTAGTAGGAGTCATTTCCTTTATGACTCTTTTTGTGTGCTGTCTTAGCATTGCATTTGGTCGATGTTGGTATTTTGGTGACTGAAACAACTGTTTTGATAATAGAAAAGTGCTTGAATCGTAAGTAATATTATAAATGCTAGTGTATTTGATTGCTTAAATATGTTTAATACCTTATTGCAATACAAATTGTGCACACATGTTGTTTGATTAAAAAAAAAGTGCCCTTTTGGCACAATGCTTAAATTGATTGATAAAATCTACATTTACCACAAATATGTTGTCAGTAAACTGTGGAATCGGAACAGATTTAAAGTAGGTACTATACTGATTCACGTATTTGTGTGTAATCAATCACTTAAAATAAAAATTCGTGTGATTTGATAGATGAAATAAATGTTTCTTTTTTGCTATGGATAGGATAACTAATAGAAAAAAAACATTTTGTTTTATCATTTAAAGTTCTAAAACCATTAAAAGGTACTGTTTACTGGTCGAAACCTTCCACAACGTTTTATAATATTGCAATTATTGCCGGCTTCATTATGCAAATCTTGCCTTATAATAGACATTTATAATGATCGTGCCAACCGGCACGATCATTATAAATGTCTAATATTTGTCAAAAAAATATATATTAAAATTATAATTAAATTTAATTTATATATTTTAAATGTATTTAAAATAGGTATAATGTGTAATTTAAAATATATATATAAAAAATATTTAAAAATATAATATGTATAAAATGTATTTGAAGAGGAACAAGATTTGCCTTGTTAAATATACACTTATGCCTGCTTATGATAATTATATTTTGGATTTTTTCTCCCTTAGTCTCATTTTTCACAAGAGATGATTTAAGTGTGGGTATACCACAGTGGGTTTGAAGACACAAACATACAGGCAACGACTTCCGCACTTCCGCATGCAGAACTTTCTTTTTATTCCACATGTAAAAATGCCTGCACAGATATAAAATAAAAAAAAACTAAAGAAATTATTTCTCTTAAAAAGACTATATCAGAATAAAAGTGATCAGAATAAATATGCGAAACCTGTTGCTTATGTTATGGCTGCTTGTTTATGTTCCTGTAATATTTAGGATTGTTTGTACTTATATTATTATTTACCTGCTTACATCTGTAGACATCAGGTTCATTATTTCTCCGACCGTGGAAGTTTTCCTGGCTTCGTTAGTTAAACTTAGAGCTTTTTTATATATCATACTACTCAATGCACAATTAATTTTGACTCCGACTTTAGATGTCTTTAAGTAGTACTGCCCTAAGAAGACAGTTTGTAACGATGCACATACTAACATGCCAACGGCGTACAAGTAGCCCCTCCATACCGGTTCTTTACCCTCAACGAAACCTACAAGTAATCTGGAAGAGGATGGGAATTATAAATAATACTATTTGCATGATTTACATATACGTGTGTATACTGTTCTGGAAATACAAAATTATCTTTCGATTCGATTAACATGAATCAGTCACACTTAATTGTCAATAAAATTTCTAAACGTACATTCAGTCAAAAAAGTATCGAGAATGGATGATTTGTTTATGGTTCCAAATTCAAATTTTTGTTGTTAGATTGGCACAACTGTTTTCTATTTTAGCGGCGAGGTTGAGTTGCATCTATTATTTATATTAAATACAGTGCTGTTTTTAGTTATATCATATCTAGTGTGTATTGCGAATGTCAAAATGGAAAAAAACATCGAACAAAGAGTTTTTCTTAAATTTCTCATCGCCAATCTAATTTCGTGCTAGGAGTCACTGAAAATGTTACAGAAGGCTTACGGTGAATCGACTTTATCAAAAACATGTGCTCATGAGTGGTACAAAGCGTTCAAAAGCGGTCGACATGTGATGGAAGATTTGCCTCGCTCTGGTAGGCTATCAACGTCTATAACTGAGGTTAACATCACAAAATTGAAGGAAATAGTGACTGAAAATCCTAATTCAACTTTGAGAGAGATAGCCGCCGAACTATCTGTATCTCACGAGTCGATCCGTACTGTTTTTACTAATAATTTGGGTATGAAACATGTTGCCGCTTGGCTAGTCAAAAGACAAAAGACCTGAATTTTCTCCAAAAATTTAATCGCATGAGAGTCGCTGAGGACATACTAGAACGAGTCAATTCCGATCCAACATTCATGAAACGCATTGTTACTGGTGACGAGACGTGGGTTTACGAGTTTGACATGCAAACTAGTCAACAAGATTCGGAGTGGCGCCTTCCAACTGAACCGAAACTGAAAAAACCACGACAAAGTCGATCAAAAGTCAAACTCATGTTGACTGTTTTCTTTGACTATCGCGGTGTTATGCACTCAGAAGTTTTGCCGGAAGGTCAAACGGTAAATAAAGAATATTATTTAAGTGTTATGCGGCATTCAAGAAAGCAAATTCGACGATAAAGGCCAGATGTGTAAAGAAAATTCTTTGATTTTGCACCATGCATTGCATTTGGATAATGCGCCTTCGCACAAGGCCATCGATGTTAACGAATTTTTGACTAAACACTTAACAAATACCATCGAGCAACCACCATATTCACCAGATATATACCACCAGATATAGCAAACTTCTTTCTTTTTCCTAAACTCAAATTACCACTTCGTGGCACCCGTTTTCAATCGGTAAAAGACATAAAGGAGAATTCACGGCGAGAACTGACGTCAATTCCGGAAACAGCGTTTAAAAAATGTTTTGATGATTGGATTATTCGTTGGCGTAAGTGTATCGTTTCCGAAGGAGCATACTTTGAAGTTGATAAAATAAATTTGGATGAATAACAAACATTTTGTGTATTATTGATCTTTGCCCGGTACTTTCTTGACAGAGTAGTAGTAGTCTGTAATTAGCTTTCTTATACTATTCTAATGTTAATCTGTTGATTTAGCTGTAAGTCTTCCATAGAACAAATAAATAAATATATAAATGTTAAGTTGGCTTGTGTCAAAAACTTAAATGGTTCTGCACCGATTAAGCTCAAATTTTGACACGACATACCAACCGTTGCAAAGATTTGACACAGCGAAGCGTGGCAGTGTAAAGCTGGTTTGTTATAAAAACATGTTTAGGTACTTACTTCGCTTTATTTACACAGACAATGGACAGTAATTGCCAATATTGTATGTGATGTATTACAGAATTTAAGTTTCGTAAACAAGAAGCCTTGATTTAAGTTTGTAGTAAAACCATCACGAATAATATATTAAGAAAATTTATAAAAAGTCGTCCAAACAGACATCATATAGACTATGTATATGTATAGGTGTATGTGTGTAGACAGTTGTCAATTATGAATATAATCGTTGAGTTTTACTTTGCCATTCACCAACACAAGATTCAAGGTTACAGTACTTACCTAAGTAATTCTGGTGCGGCAAATATTAGTAAGTCGTTGCACAGTTTTAAAACTACCGATATTAGGAACTGTCCTCCGAAGGCTTTAAACATGACAGGTAGTACAGATACTACCCTTTGCTCCTTTCTTTGGCCTTTTAATGAAGTACTTTCTGAACAATCTAATTCGTCTGATTTCCTGTAATAGAAATATATATCTTACTATATTTTTTGTCGCAATTCTAATTAAGGGCTAGTATTTAATCTTGACTGAGGTTAGTCGGAGACTACGGAGACCGAAGACGTGATGAGCACTTATGTCAATCTGTAGGAGAGGCTGCCATGTCGCCTCTACCAACCAAGCTTCCAGTACTCTTCGTTCTTTCCACTTTGCCTTGAAATCGTAACGGAGCTGGGAGCGATACGCTTTGAATTCTCGTGTAACTTCAGGGTTTAAGGTTAATTTTAAATAAAGATAGAAACCAGTAAATACACCAAGTGCAGCAAATACTCTAGGATATGGGTTTTTTATTAATCCAATTATTTCCATTTAGGTAGATACTATTATATGTTTTATTTGTAACTTGATTTGTTTCTGCACAATAAGTTAATTTGAGTTAGTTGTTGTCTATTCCGCATGCGCCTATAGCAATAATTTACTTAATAGCAAACCAAGTCTTATGCAACCAGCTAGATCAATATTATGTGCAAATCAAAAGTAGTTTCCACGTTTTAAGTTATTACGGTTTTTCATATCATATTGTATTATGGTCGTTTAACAACTCGACATAAAAAGTTTGATATAAATACATAAATGCATATCATGTCGAGTTTGACGATGGTTATGAATGACTACAACACTAACTTCAACTTGTAGTATTGCTAGCTGCAGTTCTATGCTGAACTATATAGGTATGAACAGGGTTAATTAGCATTTGAAAACATGTCTTGACTTCATTTACTTCCTATTTTATTAAAAGAAACTTTTAACGTAAATTTTGATTGTTTATGCTGCAAGAAAAACAACCCTCGATTTATTACAAGCAGGTGAGCCACAGCAGATTTTTTACCTTCTTGCCGAGTTTTAACTCTACCCCATCCCATCCATAGAACCACTATTTACGTGTTTGAATAAACTAAGACTTGAGTGATACTACGGACATTGAGGATTAACGTCAATCGATAGCAGTTTACCAGTTACCTACATGCATTTCGAGTGAGTAGATCTAGATAACGATAATTGGCCTCGAACTCCGCCAGAAACGTATGCTTTGAAAAAAAATATGAGGTTCGTGCAGTTGCGATGGTAGAGGTAAGTGTCTTACTTATAACCTCTTTATCTTTAGTTGGACTTATTAGAACTGCTTTATAGTGTTTACATTATAGTTCCTTTTCTGATACTTATCATAGTTTATAAAAAACTTTTTTTTTGTGCTTTTTTATGAATCTTAAGTTATTTAACTCGATTATCATTTCATTTGAAATGCATAATTAATACCTATGTATAACTATAGTATCATTATACTCGTATTATAATATAGTTTCACGTTTGTTGGCCTAACTAAATTGTCTTAAAAAAGTTGGTTTGTATTCTTTGATAACTGTTTTTCATGAAATTGAGAGATAGGATTGTATTTTAAGTTTGCGTAATATTAGTTATGTCAATTATGCTTTGATATTTGGTCCTCTTTCTAATAAAAAAGTATATAAGTATTCTATCAGTCAATCTAGCTTTCATAGTACAAACTCTGCTTAGTTTAAACTAGATGGCATTGTGTCAGATGTTCTCAATAGTTATGTTTTTATTTGTTTAATTGCGGCAACGGCCAAATGGGCGGATACCACCCCCGTAGTGATGTGTCACACGATGTTCCATAGAAGGGGAGACAGGAACAACCGTTATTAAGTGATGGGTATTTTTAAACTTGTAATGACAAAGTGTGCTAGAAAAAAAAATGTCTTGTCTCTGTTATCCTTCAGGCGCTTGTCCTTAAAGAGTAATCGGACTCGTATCATAAATTTTAATTGTGCAATTGCAGCACGGCGGCAGGCGGCAATGCTCAAGCATACGAGTAGTACCGTACAGGCAATGATTCGAGGAGCCGTGGCGAAGTAGTAGGCCAAAGTCGTGAACAGATCTCACCGCGTAATCGATTTTGCGTAACCCAGGTCATTTGGTCACCACGATTTCTGCCGATAGGATCTACTGCAGCACAAAATTTGTATGTATTTAGACGTGGTCCATGAATCGGTCAGCTTCGGTATCACCACTGTGGGACCTGTAGACTAGATGCATGCATAGACGCGGGGATATCTGTCTTTGTCTACAAGGAGCCAAAAGACGGAGAAGTCCCTTACCCCAACATTGCAGCGAGAGCGGATATCATCCTAGCTACCCGTATACACCAGCTCTAGCAACAAATAAGAATCCATGTAAGTGTGATCCAACCAGAATTAGCACAGCAATTTGTGCAGAGTATTTTGAAAGATTAACATAACTTTGCGTTTGGTATTAATGAGTACGTGTTTGAAATAAGTTGTTGTCTGATAAGATCAACTTTATGAAATCCTTAAACACTCAAGATCAAGATCATCATCATCAACAGCCTTTAATAGTCCACTGCTGGACTTAGGCCTTTTTCACGATGATCAGACCAGTTAATATAAGGTTTGTTTCAATGTTTCCTTCTTATTGTAGTGCTGTTGTCCTGCGTTGTTTGCTCCTTTAGTTGGCTCTAACGACACACACGGATCAGGAATCTCTAATCGCAAATTCTGAGTACTCTTATTCATAAAGATACAAATGCGACACGGTAACGAATGTCATTTTGAGAAATAACACATGCCTTTGTTACGTGGGACTTTACCGTCATACAATTAACTGGCACGAAGTATAAACAGAACAACTTCATGTAGGTAAATGAATCAGAGATTTAAAATAATGATTGTCCTAAGTTGTTCGGCAAGGTGACCTCTGTAAATGATTACATTAGAATTGCTTTGGCGTAAGACTTAATGCTGACTGGTCGGCCTTGCACTTGGATGATTTTTATGTTTAGATATTTTGTAGAGATTATTAATAACGACAACAGCACTGCGTGGTATAGTCGGCCAAAACCTCTTTTCTAAGGAGAGGCCTATGTCCTACAGTTCACTATTTTTGATGACTTACGTATGTATATACATACATATATGTACATGCTTTACCCTGTATCGCTTATGTAAGCGGATAATTAAACATTGTTATTGTATGCACGACAATGACCTTATTATCTGATTCTACCCAATAGTCATTAGTTTTTTATTTAGTTATTTGTCCTAGTAAATTACTTAGGTTTTTAAATAGTGGATAGATTCCTACGGTACAATTACGGTAAGCATATTTTTAGTCAGTGTGTTATATCTAAACAAGTTGGGTTAGTGAGCTACGATGTCCTGGCAACACCTTGACCTGCTCAAACTGTTGCTCATCCCCCCTAATCCATCAGTAAGATTATTTTATTAGATCATTAAATAAGAAAGGTACGTAACCTTTCTTTTAATAAACTTCAAATTTGCCTAATTTCACGGGGGAACGCAATAGACCTATTACGTGAGTAGGACCATAATTGTAACAAGCAAAATGTATGTGTACAACAAGTCTGCGTACAGTGCTTAAGTGTTATCATTAAAGGGTACCACTACCTAAAATCACAGTATGAAAGTTTTACACTAGAATGGCCATATAACGTTGATAGCCCCGGATTTCGAATGCAAAATAAAACACGACTTTAATTAATTTCTGAATTTACGATAGAATTTATTTCCAATAAATACTTTTACATACGAAGATGTAAGCTACTCCTGAGTTGATAGAGTATTAGCTGGAAGTAACAACAGCAGTAAGTATTTTGCTAACCTATTTTAAGGCTAAATACATAAAATATTTTTTTTATTAGAAATGTAGACTTAGGCAAGCAGTGGCATGCGATAGATTGATTAATCGAAGTAAATAAATGCTCAATAATAATCTGTATAGAGATTTCAAGCTATAATTATACAGATGTTTAATTTTATATTAGTCTTATAAGTGTGTTGATGTGTGTGTTGTGTGAAGTTAATAAGGTCAACAAATACTTACCATCCACATTTTTTCAACGCACGTTTCCAGTGTTTTTCAAATTGTGGGACAGTTGCTTCAGAAGCTAGATTAGGGCTGATAGAACATAAATCATTTTCTGTTAAAGTTCTTCGGTACCCTGTTATAGCAATTGGATCGAACCAGCTGAAAGTCATGCGGCTCGGAAAACCTGATGAATCCTCCGGGCTTTGTTTCTGTTGATAATTTAATTATTTATTATTTTATTTCTAATTCTAATCAACTTGAACTACTCATAAATAGATTGGTAAATGTTGGTTAACGCAAGAGTTGAAACGCCTAGGTATTTCAACATTTTAATCGACGTTGTCAGACATACTATGAAATATTGATTGAATTTGACATAGAATTTAACGGCACGGATGGCGTAGTGATTTAAGCAGTCGCAACGCCGCTTACTGCTACGCTGGGTGTTGTGGGTCCGATTCCCCCCATGGGACGACACTTTTTGTGATCTACATATTGTGGTTCTGAGTCTGGGTGTTCTTTGTGTCCGTTTCATATATGTTTTTAAATTCCCCACGACACAGGATATATTCCTAATGCGGGAGTTGTCTTTTATTAAAAAAAAAAGAAAATATTATTAACTACTTCGAAGTCCTCCTTACTCTGAACAGAGATATTCTTTTTGAAAAATATACGTAAACTCAAAACCCAATGTCCTTAAAAAAAATGTTCTATTCTTCATTAGTGTTCTATCTTTCTCACTACCTAAAATCCCCTGTTACTTCCCTAAAAAATCGAAAAATATATAAAAAGTGCCAAAATACGATTAAATCGTAATGAAGGATTTGATTTTATTTCAGAAAAAATATTATATTCATCTCAAAGAATTTGGCAATTTTAAAACAACGTAGATCGAACATTTCTACTTAAATTAGTCTTCAAGATGAAAATTCATTACCGTGTCTGATGTAAGTAAATGTTTAAAACGATTGAGGACACGTAAGCGTTCACCAATAAATATTTAATAAATCCTAATGCAGTGTGCATGTAATGCATATAAGTACATACCTTATCATAGCGGTAGGGTGTATCTTTTGGCGGTAAATCAGCAAAACAATTCAATATAAACATTGTAAACAGAAGCAAATAATATACTATATAACTTCCAAAATTAAATCGAGTATTTGAGTCGGCCGATGTTTTGTAGTTCATTATTTCAGTCCTCAATTGGGGTAAGCCTGCCAAAATGAGGAGTAACCAAAATACAAAGAGTGCTCCTGAAGTTCTCATTCCACACTTTCTGTTGTAAAATAAAAGCGTCGCTGACAACACCTGAAACAGACCTTCACGGTAAATGAAAAATAACAAAGTATATTGCATTGCACTGTATTGGATTAAATTACCAACATACTACCGTTGTAAATCAAGTTTAAAGCTTAATTCAATAGTAATAGTCTTTGTGGTAACCTTAGAGTACTAGCTACAATTTTACAATACTTGTTATTCATTGTAACAAATTAAACGTGTGAGTTTTGCTTGTGTAATAAGAGTTCTGTTGTCGGCCGTGGCTATTGTCCTAGCCTAAGCATACATACATAGACTCTTGCAACATTAGTGATGCACTCTCTTCTCTATTATGAAGCTGCTATTGCTCGTACATCAATGCTATGTTATATAAAATACAAAACTACGACGATAAAGAAAAGGGTCACGACAGCCACGTTTGGACATTTCGTTAAAATTTACTCTAAAATTGAAATCATAAACAGTAATTCATAAAAAATCTACCGAGCAGAAAGTATTAAAAATTCCAAAAATCCATAAGTAACTTGCCGTTTCCTGTAACCATCCAGACTTGAATTCGATTAGTAATCAATCTCTTTCGAATTGATATTACGTTCAATCATCATTATCTCAATTTAGATAAGAAGAAGTCAATTATAAAGTTGAGTTTTTACTACTTTGGTATTTGAGCCCAGTTCTGGTATCTGGCACTTCAGTAACAATTGTTTAGGTGATAAGGTCTAGAACAGTCTTTGCTTTTACCTTGTTGCCTTTCCTTTAGCTAATAACTGTTTTAGGCTTAGCAATACCTCAATATTTCATTAACTGTTAGAATAAAATACACATTTTATATGTACTTACGAAAGTCAGCATTTTAACTACTGGATCATAGTAATCTGCATCAAAAACTTTATTTTTCTCTCTCGAAGCTGTATATATTAATTTAGCGACATTAATTATTTGTAGCAGTATCAACAATAATGTTGTAACCAGCTTTGTGATATTAAAATTGTTCCATGGTATATTAGTTTCTTTACTGGTGATCATTTGATATACTTCAACAAGGGATGCAACCCATAGAAATGCACACGGGGTCCATACAAGAAATGTCTTTTGGAAACAAGGCGTGAAGTCTGGATAGTCTGTATTCCATGTCAGGCTTGTATTCTAAAATGGTTAAGTTAAATTAATTAGTTCATTATTGTTAATATGGAATAACTAAAAGATAAAAATAAATAAATAAAAGTATTGACCAGTACAGTGCTATTCAGTTATTAGATAATGTCATAACTAATGAGAGCGTATTTTATGAAATACTAGCTAGTTTCCGCGGCTTCGCTAGCTTGATTATTCGTGTATCTAACTATAAAAATGACGAACCTACATACAGCCGGTTATTCCTTATGTTACATTCTTAAAAGTGAAATTTTAAACAGAAAAATTTTAGTAGGGTCATAGAACATAAAAATCATCAGCTTCTCAAATTTCAAGTTTATGGCCCCACCGGTTTAGGCTCTACGTTGAGGAACCAGTCAGTTAGTCAGTCAGAGCAAGTAATTTTATACATTATAAATTTCTTGGTCATAAAGGAAAGCTTTGACTTCTTATTTGTGTTAAAAATTATTTTGATTCTATGTATTTTATGTGTCATTGCTTTTGTTTGTTTTATGTTGTTAAATTATTCGTATTTTATATACAGTATATTTACCATATATGTGTAACGTATCTGTCATTCATTAAACATTGAATATATATCAATAACAAAGACTTTTATACAGGGGAGAATCTGTTAAATATGTTTTGTTTTGTATAGTTTTGCTCAATTTTTTTAATTGGACGGTCAAGGCTGCCACTTGACATTTGTTTAACTTACAAGTATAATAAACACGCCTCGTCGGGTTACTTATAAAAAGAGCTATAACTTCGACTGTGATTAGAGTGAAGTACTATGTTTTTTAAGGATTTTTCATAAGACTGCGAGAGATGCAGGTTAAAATAGTATTAATGTGCCCTAGGTTGCTAGAAATATGGCGAATAGGAATTTGGATAACTTGTCAACCTACAGGGCTTCAATTCTGCTATTTTATGTTCACGCCAAGCCACTGTTATACCACTGACACGCTATTGAGATGCCATTGGCATCGGTATAAATATCGGTAGTTGAAAATATATTACGTTTTTTGAGGAAATGATTTATTTATTTTTATTATAATAAATTATTAAATTAATTAATTTATGTAATTAACTATTAAATTAGGAAATGATTATTAAAGAAATAAATAAATTAAAATAAATTATTAAAAAAATAAAATTATAAAAAACAGAAAATATTAAAAAAAAACAATATTAAAATAAAAAAATCATTTCCTCAAAAAACGTAATATATTTTCAACTACCGATATTTATACCGATGCCAATGGCCACTCGATGGCGTCTCTATAGCGTGTCAGTGGCATGACAGTGGCTTGGCGTGAACATAAAATAGCAGAATTGAAGCCCAGGTCAATTCTCGTAATAAAAGTTCGGTCACTATTCAGTTCCGATCAACTTTCGATCTCACAACTGTCTTAAAAGGTAGTAAAATAATGAAGTATTATTAAGACTAGCAAATTACCGATTAAATTTTCGGCTATAATACGATACAATCACATTACAGTCAATATGTTGGATGTTTAATAGGTACTTTACTACGAAAATACCTTCTATGACAGTTGAGAGATCGAGAGTTGATTGGAACTGAATTATGCTTTTATTACGAGAATTGGCCTTCTTGTCATATAAGTTCACGTTCTATTTGGTATAATGTTATTGTGAAAGAAGAGTTATTTTTTAAAGTTTAAGATTAAGGTTTTGGATTAGCGTATTAAACGGTAATATTTTTGGCCTAAGACAAGGTAGGCACTCTTGTGTCTCATCGCAGTTAATTCAACATCCCTAATAGGCATTTTTCTTCTTTGGTACCTTAATTTAATGCAACATATCGTAAGAAATATTATTTTATTAGCACATTAAGATTTCATAAAATAGTCCATCAAAATTGTAATTATGCATCATAATGTTGATTGTAATGTGATTGGTTGGAGTAAGTAAGTCCGTCCGTTGTCCGTGAGGTGACAGATTAAGAATACGGAATTTTACCACCCCTATTCTATAGCCGACCAAAGGAGCAAATTTATTGTCCTGCGTAATTTGCGCACTGCAAAGAGAAGGGAAACAAACACTATACCAGCACCAGTCCAAGGAGGAGGCCTATGTGCAGCAGTGTACTGTTAAAAGTTGTTGAGGATGATGATAAAGTAAGTCCTCCCTGTAGATAGTCATTTAAGAGAATTTTTTAAATACATTATTATACTTATGTTCTATCAGGTGAAACAGACATGATACCGATCTCTCGTTAGGGCTACAGTGAACCACTCATTATCGACTTGCAATGTCTTATTTAATGTGTTATAACGCTAATACTCAGTATTTACAATGGTTCAGCAACCGATTGTCAGTAACAATTTAACACGACCTTGGCTGTTCCTAAAAAGCCGTGCGATTCCCGCTAATACTATTATGAGCAGATTCTGCTTATAGACGTGTGACGTATGACATGTGCCTAGACCACTATTTGTTACAGATCACGATAATGGATCAGACAACGGATATGAAATGGAATACATCTGATCGCAACCAGTGTTTATATTTGACTGTCGCATTGCATTGTGTGCACAGTACATAAACTAAACACAGTACTTATTAAAGACTGCACGGATGAAGTAGTGGTTTAAGTGGTCACCTCGCCGCTTCCTGCTACGCGGAGTGGTTTTTTTCGATCCCTACATGAGACAAAACTTTATGTGATCCTAAAATTGTTGTTCCGAATCTGTGCGTCTTTTGTGTCCTTTTGTGTGTGTGTTGTTTCATGTTTGTAAAGTCTGGCAGGATATAATATATTTCTAATGCGGAACTCCCGCATTTATAATAAAATTTACCTCTTTGATCAGTAATCCATTGTGCTCATCTCATTTATTATTGTGTTATGATAAGTTTTTAAATTAAGAACTAAAAATTATATTCGTCATATTTAACTAACATTTCTATATTTATTTCCCTACCTAATAATTTATCGGTGGCGAACCGGAGTGGTGTAGCCACAGCATCTTTTAGCGATACAAAATAGTCTGCCATTTTTTGCGGGGGGAATCTTCACCACACACGTTCTCGGACTCCCATACAAATCAATTAGCTGTCACTACAGAACATTCTGTGTAATAACATTGTAATGAAGTGACGCACTACATTGCCATGTTGCCAAATAACCATGGCTGTGACAACTATCGATACGAAATATCGATAAATTCGAGAAGTCGTTTAGGGAAATCATGTTTAAAAAGTGATACAAGGGTGGTTATTAATATAGGACTTTATTTATTACTACAACATCATCATTCAATATTACTAAAAGTTTTATCTATCACTGATTTTTAAACTGGATTAATTGTGTATTATTATGTCGAATATATTTCTAAGTTAGCTTTTTCCATTAAGAATTTGCCATCCTTCTATTGTTCGCCAACACTTAAAAGTCAGAGGTCTTAAAATGATCTTAACAATTGACACTGTTTCTTGTACTCGTATGTATCCATATAAGGTATAACTTTTTATACTAAGATAGTAAGATCTTTAACATAGTAAGATCATTCCCTTATTCAAGGCGGGTAGCACGTCTGATCCTACAAATTATAGACCAATTTCAGTGTTGCCAACTTTCAGTAAAATTTTTGAGAAGATTATACTGGATCAGCTACAAACTCACTTTAGTGCAAGCAAAATTCTACACAGGAAACAGTTTGGATTCAGAA